CTCCTCCTCCTCCTCCTCCTCCTCCTCCTCCTTCTTCTTCTTCTTCTTCTTCTTCTTCTTCTTCTTCTTCATCTCTTTGTCATCATCTACCTACTTATCTGCCTATTTTTTCTCTCTCTCCCCCCTCTTTTTCTTTTTTTCATTTTAAAAAGAGTAGTAAGAAAAGAACAATAGCAAAGTACCAACATCATAGACATAAACAAAACAAAGCAAAAACATTAAAAGTGATACAGGTTTTCAAAACAAAATGATAGAAGGTAACAGTGGTTTCTACATTACATATTGTTATCTTCAACTAAGTTGCTCAGATAACCAGATGTAAGAATGGAAGATTGTTCAAACCATTAAAGAGAATTAAAAAATTAAATAAAACATTAGAGACAATACAGAGTTTCACTAGACAAGATGGTGAGAATTCACCAAAAGTTGTTCTATTACATATTGTTGCTCAATATGCAAATCACTTGCTCAGATTACTAGATATAAACATGCAAGGTTGGTCAAAATATAAATAATCTTAAGCATTAACTTTTCCTTTCAATAAATCACCAGGCATCAGCAGTTTACAGTTATCCCAGCTATCCCTATATGTACTTTTTTCTTGCCTTCTTTCTTTCTTTTTCTTCTTTCCCTCATCCCAGTTGTCCCTTCCTTTGAGCAATTTCTTTCCCTTTCATATTATCCATTGTACATTTTGAGTTTTATTTACTTTTTCAGATTCATACACTAGGGAAACAATATAATGTCTACACATGTGGGTCCGATTTACTTCACTTATAAGTATGGTTTCTAGTTGCATACACTTACCTATAAAAGCCTCGACTTGTCTTTTTGTTTTACATTTGAATAATACTCCATTGTATAAAAACACCACATCTTTTTTATCCATTTCTCAGTGGATGGGCGTTTGGGTTGTTTCCAAGATTTAGCTATGACATATTATACTGCTGTAAATGTGGGTGCACATTTATCACTGTTGTATTATGTTTCTAATTCTTCTGGGAAAATACCCAGAAGGGAAATAGCTGGGTTAAATGGGACTTCCAATCCTAGTTTGTGAGGAAGCTCCAAACTGATTTCCACAGTTGTTTCACCAATCTACACTGCTACCACCAGAAAGGTTCCTTTTCCCCCACAGCCTCTCCAGCATTTGATATTAGTTAATTCCTTGATGATAGCCATTCTTTCTGGGGTGAGAAGGAATCTCAGCGTTGTTTTAATTTGCATTTCTCAAACGACTAATGATGTTGAGTGTTTTTTCATATATTTATTTGCCATTAGTGTTTCTTCACCTGAGAAGTGTGTATTCATCTCAGACGCCCATTTTCGGATTGGGTCTTTGAATTTTGGGGGCCTGATTTTAAAAAATTCTTTATATATCCTAGATAGAAGTCCTTTGTCTGAGGGGCAACTGGCTAAAACGTTTTCCAAATTCGTGGGTATTCTTTTTACTCTATTGGTGATTTCTTTTGATGTGCAAAAACATTTCAATAAGATCAGATCCCAGTTGTTGATCCTTTGAAGTATTTCTTGTGCAGTTTTGTTTTTGTTAATGAACTCTCTGCCTACCTCTATGTCTTCAAAATTTCTACCTGCTTTCTCCTCCAGTAGATTTAGTGTTTCTGTTTTAGTATTTAGATCCTTGATCAATTTGACTTTAGTTTAATGTATAATGATAGACATGGGTCTCGTTTTAGTCTTTGGCATGTGGAAAGCCAGTTTTTCCATCACTATTTATTAAAGAAACTATCTTTCTTCCAGTGAACATGTTTGGCCCCTTTGTCAAAGATAATGTGACTGAGTGTGCTTCTAGTTGTGTCTGTATCATCTAATCTGTTCCACTGATCTTCAGGTCTGTTTTTTTTTTTTTTGTCAGTACCATACTGATTTTATCACAGTAGTTTTGTAGTATATTTTCAAATCAAGAATTGTGATGCCTCCTGCCTTGTTTTCTTTGCCCAGGATTGCTTTTGCTATTCTAGGCCTCTTCTGGTTCCAGATGAATTTTAGGAATGTTTTCCCTAGATCTGTGAGGTATACTAATGGTATTTTAATTGGTATTGCATTGAATCTGTATAACAATTTTGGGAGTATGGCCATTTTCACAATGATAGTTCTTCATATCCAAGAGCAAGGAATATCTTCCCATTTTCTGAAATCCTCTTCAATCTCCTTTTTCATAGTACTGTAATTTTCACTGTATAAATCTTTTATTTCATTTGTTAGATTGATTCCTAAGTATTTCATTTCTTAAATGCTATCATGAAAGGTGTAGTTTCCCTAATTTCTCTTTCAGTCAGTTTGTTGTTTGTGTACAAGAATGCTTGATTTTTGAGTGTTGACTACGTATCCAGCTATGCTACTAAATTTGGTTATTAAATCTATTAGCCTTTTGGTGGAGTGTTTGGGGTCTTCTATGTAGAGTATCATGTCATCTGGGAGTAATGATATTTTACTTCTTCCTTTCCTATCATTATTCCTTTTATTTCTCTTTCTTGTCTAATTGCTGTGGCTAATATTTCCAGAACAATATTGAATAGGAGTGGTGACAGTGGACATCTTTGTCTTGTTTCTGATTTTAAAGTGAAAGCTTTCAATTTTGACCATTTAGTATGATGTTAGCCATAGGTTTGTCAAAGATGGTTTTGATCAGATTGAGGTAAAGACCATCTATTCCTTGTTTCTATAGGGTTTTTATCATGAGTGAGTATTGGACCTTATCAAAAGCTTTTTATACATCAAGATGATCATATGATTTTTGTCTTTGTCTCTACTGATATGGTGTATTACATAAATGGATTTGTGAATATTGAAACATCCCTGCATTTCTGGGATGAATCCCACTTGGTCATGGGGTATAATATTTTTGATGACTTGCTACATTCTATTTGCTAGTATTTTATTGAGAATTTTTGCATCTATATTCATTAGGAAGATTGGCCTGTAGTTCTCTTTTTTTTGGTTGGGTCTTTCTCTGGTTTTGGTATCACATTAAAACTTGCCTCGAGGAATGAGATAGGGAAAATTGCTTCCCTTTCAATGTCATTAAAGAGTTTGAGAAGAATTGGTGTTAAATCTTCTCTAAATTTCTTGTAGGATTCAGTTGTGAATCCATCAGGACCTGGGCTTTTCTTGATTGGCAAGTTTTTTATTACATTTCAGTTTTGCCAGCTGATATTGAGTTAGCCAGGATTTTTATATCTTCCTCATTTAGATTTGGTAATTCATATGTATCTAGAAATCTGTCCATTTCCTCTGTGTTTTCTATCCTATCAGAGTGAAGATTTTCAAAGTAGGTATAGATGATCATCTGAATTTCTACAGGATATGTAGTGATTTTACCCCTTTCATTCCTTATTGCATATATTTCAGTTTTTTTCTTTCCCTTTTTTGATAATGTTTGGTAAGGGATTATCTATTTTATTTATTCTTTCAAAGAACCAACTCTTTGATTCATAAATTATTTACATTGTTATTTTAGTCTCCATTGTATTAATTTCTGCCCTGATCTTTATAATTTCCTGTTTTATTTGGGCTTTGGGTTTGACTTGTTCTTCTTTTTCTAAAAGCTTGAGGTTCAGTGTAAGATTGTTTATTTGTGCTCATTCTGTTTTCCTGAGATGAGAATTCACTGCTATAAATTTCCCACTAAGGGCGGTACTGTTTTCATTGCATCCTATAGGTTCCTGGAAGTTGTATATACATTTTTGTTTGATTGTAAATATTGTTTAATTTCTTCTTTGACTTCATCTGTGACCTATTGGTTGTTCAGGAGGGTGTTATTTAATTTCCATGAGTTTATGGAGTTTTTGTTATCTCTTTTGTCATTAATTTCCAATTTCATTGCAATATGGTCCAATAGTATGCATGCAATAATTTCAATTCCTTTGAATTTACTTAAGCATATTCTGTGTGATAGTATATGGTCTATTTTAGAGAATGAGAAGAATGTGTATTCTGTTTGTTTGTTTGTTTTGTTTTGTTTTGTTTTTTTCCAGTGCTGGGAATCGAACCCGACCTTGCGCTTGCCAGGCAGGCGGTGTGCCGCTGAGCCAAATCCCCATGCCTAGAATGTGTATTCTGATGCTCTTGGGTGGAACACTCTGTAAAGGTCGACTAAGTCCATTTGCTCACAAGTTTGGTTTAGTTCTGTTATTTCTTAGATGATCGTTTGGCTATTTGATTTAGGTCTTTGTGACAATGGGGTACTAAAGTCCCCGGTTATGATTGTGTTGCTGTTTATTTCATTCTTCATGTTTGTTAAAATTTGTCTTATATAGTTAGGTTCTCCTGTATTTGGTGCACAGATGTTTATGGTTGTTACCTCTTCCTCTTGAAGTTTTCCCCTCACAAGTATGTAGTGACCTTCTTTAACTCTTTTGATTGTTCTTGGATTGAGGTTCACATTGTCTGCAAACAGAATACCTACACCCACTTTTTTCTGGGCTCCTGTTGCATGAAGTATTATTTTCTATCCACTAATTTTCAGTCTCTGAATTTCCTTTTGAACTAAATGTGTTTCTTGCATGCAGCACATTGTTGCATTTTGTTTCTTGATCCACTCTGCCAGTCTACTTCTTTGATTGGTGAAATGAGACCTTTTACGTTGACGGTTATAAATGATATGTATTGGCTTATCCTTGTCTTGTTATTTTCCTGATGCTGGTTCCTCCTATTGCCCTCTATTTAATTGCTTGTCTGCTTCGTGATTCCTTTCTGTTGTTCTTGAAGTTGTGCTCTTTTTTGTCTCTTTCTAGAATATGTTTTAGAACTCTTTGTAGGATTGGTTTAGTGCTCATGAATTTCTTCAGTTCTTTATCATGGTCATATTTTATTTCTCCATTAAATTTGAAGGATAATTTTGTAGGGTACATCAATCTGGTTTGAAAGTTTTTTGTTTTTTGGTTTTTTTTAGTACCTGAAATACTTCACTTCAAGCTCTTCTTGACTTGATGGTTTATGTTGAGCAATCTGCCATGATTCTGATGGGCTTTCCTTTATAGGTGATCTGTTTCTTTTCTCTAACAACTTTTAATATTCTGATCTTTTGTTGAATTTCTGGGATCTTGATCACTATATGTCTGGGTATAGATTTATTTTGGTTATGGCTAATTGGAGTTCTCTCTGCTTTACTTACTATATGTCTGATTCTTTTTGCATGCTTGGGAAATTTTCTGCTATTATTTCTGCAAATAGTCTTTTATGTCGTTTGTGTTGACACACCTGCTGTTTTTTGACACCTATTACTCTTACATTGTTTTCTTCGGTTTGGCTTGCAGTTGCTGAATTGTTATTTCCTGGTTCCTTGTTATTTTTAAGGGATCCTTCCTTGCTTGTTAATTAGTAACAATGCTGTCTTCAAGGTCTGAAAGTCTATCTTCAGCTTCATTCAAGTGCTTTTGCCAGCTTTCAGTGGAATTTTTAATTTCCTGGATATTTGTTTGAATCTGTTTCACACATCCTAGCTCTTTCTTATACTGTTCATTCAAGGTTTCCATGAGTTTTTTATGTTTCTCTATTTTCTCATCAATGTCTTCTTTGGATGTGCTGAGCAATTCTTTCACTACTGTTGTCATTTCTCTTTTTACCTGAGAGATTATTTCTGATCTGATGTCTTCTATGGCCTCATGGAGTTGTTTCTTTACTTCAGTTGCTATCATTTCAGAAATTTCATGTGTATGACTTCCAGGCTCATCTGTGTTGATGCTTCCTGGACCTGTTCTGGGTGAGATAGAGGTCTGAGATTGCATTTTCCTCCTTTGTTTTTTTTTTTTTTTCCTCCTTTGTTTTGTCATTGGTGAAGATCCAGAAGTTCCCTGGAGCTCAGCTTCACTCCCACAATGGTGGGGGAGTGGTGAGGCAAGGATCTGAAGGTTCCTAGTGCTCAGTGTGGCTCCTGCACTGGTGTGTGGGGGCAAGGTGCAGTTCCAGATGCTCCTGAAGCTTTCTTGCATTCAGTTGGTGCCAAAGCTGTTAGGAGGAGGCTCACTGACATTCCTGAAGCTGTTCAGGGTTCAGCCTGGCTTCCTCAGGGGTGGAGGAGGCACCCAACCTGGTTCCCACACCAATAAGGGTAGGGCAAGGGCGCAGTCACTGAGGCCATTGATGCTGTCTGGAGTTCAGCTCAGCTTCTGTGGGGTGTGAGGGGGGTAGTCCAAGGAGTTACCACTGAGGCCCCAGAAGGTGTCCAGGGCTCTGCCTGCCTTGCACACTGGTGGGGGAGGCATGGAGGCAGCTCACCAGGGTTCCTAAAGATGTCCTGGGTTTTGCCCAGCTTCTGCCAGGGTTGGGGGGGTTGGGTCATGATCCCTGAGACTTGAGAATCTGCTTGGGACCCACCCAATTCCCATGCCAGCGGGGGTGGGATGAGAATGCAGTCACCAAGGCCGCTGATGCTGTCTGAAGTTCAGCTCGGCTCTCCCTCCTCTTTTTCTTTCTTTTTCCCTTTCTATAAGAAATGAGTTTGAATTTTTAGAATTGACTACCTCAGGATTTTAAGCAGCACTACAGAGAACTCTGTTGAGGAGCACTGTCATCCCTTAATTGGGACATGTTTGCTAAGGTCTCATTTCACAAAGCCAATCACATGGCTGATACTAAATGCAAGGGGTAGAAAAACTGACTTCCCTTCTTGATGGGAGAAGGAGAAATGTGGCCATATTTTCAAACATCACACAGGTGAAATAGATCTCTAGCATGAAATATTCACAATGTATCACTTATATGACAACTGAAGATAAAATCATACACCCAATTGTAGTAACTTTTAAAAAATATAAAAGTATCTTAAATTAAGGATGCTATATTATCCTGATAACTTTTTATCTTCTGGTTATAGGTTGGGTCACTATGTACAACAACAAACTTTCTGAAATGCCTGATTTAGAAAATATCAGCAAGCTCACTGGAGTCTGTCCACAAAGTAATGTGCAATTTGATTTCCTCACTGTGAAAGAAAATCTCAGGCTGTTTGCAAAAATAAAGGGGATTCAGCTACATAAAGTTGATAATGAGGTACATAATATGGTAGAAGTCATACAAAAATCAATAAAAGTACTAGTCAAATGGTTAGTCCAATTTACCCTAATAGGTTTCATTCATTAAATTATCTCTGTGCAGAGAATATATTAAAGTTGGAAAGAAAACCTAAAAATAATGGTATGAAACACATATATAACTCATAATAGTTAGCTTTCACTATACTAGATCTTTTAATCTTAACAACTCTGAGAAAATATTATCTCCATTTTATATATGAGATTGAGATATAAAGAGGACAAATAATTTACATAAAATGATAGTATATAAAAATGGGATAGTATGCAAATCCAGGCACTACCCATGAATGTAACCATTACACTTTACAATATAAAGCTAGCAATTTTTAAAAGTCTAATTATATCAAGGACTCCTTAAAGCTATTTTTGTTAATATAGCAGTTACTGCAGTTCACTGTAAAAAATAGTCTAGTTATGGTGAATGTTATCTTTGTCTAGGTGCAAAGAGTTTTGCAGGAATTGGAGATGAAGAATATTCAGAATACTCTTGCTCAAAACTTAAGTGGTGGACAGAAGAGAAAACTAACTTTTGGGATTGCCATTTTGGGAGATCCTCAGGTAAGTCACATTAAATTTTTACATAAATTCAGATGTAAAAATTCTTCATTTGCAAAGAACTTTAGTGGTGAAAATTATATAATAGAGTATTAGATATAAAAGTAATATCCTCATCCCTATCTTTGCAAATTGTAGCTACTGTCTATGTAGCCTGCTTTTGTTGTAAGTAGATGATACTTGCACGCTTCAACAGATTTTCCTCCTGGATGAACCCACTGCTGGGCTGGATCCCTTCTCAAGGCACCGTGTGTGGAACTTCCTGAAGGAGCGTAAAGCAGACCGTGTGATCGTCTTCAGTACTCAGTTCATGGATGAGGCTGACATTCTGGCTGGTAACTGCTGGTTTCTTTAGTATCACTTTGAAAACTTTAGGAACCTTGACAATGTTGACTATCATTCCTCACTGCTATATTTACATGGATGGAGCCTGTGTACAAGGACCAGGTGGTCTTGCTTACAAAATGACTGAAAGTCCACAACCTTTCCTACTCTGGTCCCTGTGACCACACAGGATATGATACCCTAGCAAGTTCACTGGTTGCAAATGAATAGCATTCAATATTGAAAAAGATAGGAATGTATTCTTAATTGAATGAAATAAACTTGGAAAACCACAGATCACCGATGCATGACCAATTAGCATTTGTAATTTGGTATTTACCTATGTCAAAAGTATGCCCACAGAGTTAGGTCTTCCTGTGGAGTTGGATGACACAGAAATACCCAGTGGTACTTATCTAATAGTGAGTTGTCTCTTTGCCATTATTACAGTCTACGTTTAAAGTTGCATAAATTTCTGAATAGTTCACAGTACAGTTTATTACCAGATGTTTCTCTGAAGCGAAGGGCCAACTTGTTCTTTGTATCTCTTTTTTTTTTTTTTTTTTTTTTTCAGATAGGAAAGTGTTTCTCTCCAAAGGGAAGCTGAAGTGTGTGGGCTCTTCTTTGTTTCTGAAGAAGAAATGGGGGATTGGCTATCACTTGAGGTAGGGCCATTGAGGAACTGGCAGTAAATGAGACTAAGCAAAAGTAAGGCGTGAGGCTTGAAATAAACATTAGAACACACAAAAAAAAAACGCATATGTATAAGGTGTTTGTGTACAGAGAGGAAAAGGGTGGGTGAGGTTGGAATATTGGATGTTTTGCATATTGAAGAGACACACAGACATGAGGAAATTTAATATAGATTTAGATCAATATTTATACTAGTTGATTATATCCCAGCCCAGTATTCCTATAACTTTTTCAGTCTTTTTTTTGGTGGGGGACGTTTTCCGGTACTAGAACTCAAACTCACGACCTCGCGCTTGCCAGGCAGGCGCTGTACCACTGAGCTAAATCCCCAGCCCCCAACTTTTTCAGTCTTGACAAGCTTGTATTTGGTCTCATCTAGAGTACCAAGATAGTTTCTGAGCTAGTACTCAAGTAGTTTTTACCATATTTATATAATTGACTTGGGCTACACATGGACTTATGAGTAATCTTTTTCCAGCAATCTTTTTGAATGACACTGGAGTATATTTCAAATAATGCACACCTTTGATATTGAGGCCAGCGTTGAAGAATTGAAAGTGTCTCTGTCTCTGTGTGTCTCTATCTTTCTGTGTCTATTTTTTGAACACCAGTTTGCAGCTCAGTGAAACATGTGTTCATGAAAGAATTACGTCACTTGTTAAACAGCACATCCCTGATGCCAAATTGTCAGCAGAGAGTGAAGGAAAACTGATGTATACGTTGCCTTTGGAAAGAACAAATAAGTTTCCAGGTAATTCATGATGCAAAAACCACAGCATGAAATCAGCAGCAATGATAAGAAATGATATGCAGCATCAGATTAATACATACCAAGTATGATACTGAACTTCTGGGATGAAGCAACGTACCAAATTCTCAAAGTAAAAGTACTGTGAAAGATTGGTATGATAGCTGTGCCCACTTTATTTTTTTTTATTTTTGGGGGGTTTTTTTGTTTTTTTTCTCCCGTACCAGGAACTGAACTCACGACCTTGCGCTTGCCAAGCAGGCGCTTTTGCCACTGAGCTAAATCCCCAGCCCCTGTGCCCACTTTAGATGTGAGGAAATAGAGGCACATGGACAGCAAGTTACTTGCTAAAGTCATTGCCCCCGTGATGTGTGGAAGGAGAGCAGGGAAGTCTTGTGGGCGATCGCTCAAAAGCCATAGCTTTGATAGTCCATGAACTTCTCCCTAGCGTGCTGTCAGATCTTGATCCATGTGTGAAATAAGAGTCTTGCTTCTTGTGGATAAACTTACTCCATTGTATCTTTCCTCTGGAAAACGAAATTTGCCAGATAGAAAAGAACAAACTATAACACATCTGAAGTAAGAAAAAAAAAAACACAAAAACTTCTCCAATCAATATAAGTGCAAACCTTCCTTTTCTATGAACTAAGAGACACTAATAGTATAACTAACTTTCATTTTTTCTCTTTGCCCATTCTTCTTTTCCCTCTTCCCCCATCCTACTTCCTTTTTCCTTTTCTTGTGCCCATATCTTTTACTCTGAGTAACTACTTTACAGATAATAATATGCAATGTATTAACTACTGCTCTTCTCCTAGCATCATATTATGAAATTTTGTTTTACCTGTTTTCCACAAAATAAAAGCAAACAAACCAAAACAAATAAAAATCAAACCAGTAAAATAAAAAATTACAGATTTATGAAAATATTCTAGAAATGCATCATCGAGTACATAAGAAAAAACACCAGTAATTCATGCTGCCCGACAGACACAGAGTTTAAAGTTGATTTAATGTTTAATGCAAGTTTTATAAATACTCAAAAACATTGTCACACTATAGTGATTGAATTACAATGAGTTTTTAAATTAGTCTTCTGTTTCTTTTTGCACTCTTTCAATCCCCTTAACACGCAAAGCCAAATATTCTAGTGTTCAAAGTCTGTAATGAACATGATGATTTGAAAACCTCTGGCTTAACTAGTTTCTTAAAAGCCTCACTGCTTGGTTGTTTCATTTGCCACGACTTTAGAAGTAGCTTTGATTATCAGGCCAATATATAAAAAGAGATTCATTGTGCTCGTCATTCAAGGCATCTGCCTCTGGTCCCTGGAGATGATGACAGCCCAGGTTAGTGATTGAAACAGATAAATAATTGTCTTAGGAAAATAAGTTCCGGCTATAACATATAAAATCAAAATGAGAAGTTACTCATATTACATAAGAAGTAAGTTTATTTATTATGAAATTTTAGTGGTTTTTCTTCCAGCACCAGGGATTGAACTTTGGACCTTTACACTGAACTACATCCTGAGTACTTCTTTTTTTTTTTTAATTTTGGGACAAGGTGTGGCTGAGTTGCCCAATTTGTACTCAGATCTCAAATCTTACTGCTTCAGTTTCCCAGAGTATTGAGATTATAGGCATGTGCCACCACACCTGCCTAAAATTTTAGTATGTAATGGGTATGTTTCACATTTCATAAGAACATTTTCAGACCTTCCCCTATAGAATTAGAAAAGTTTTGCATATTATCCAACTCACACGTGATTTTTATTTGCTCATTCTTTAGATCTTTGTAGGGATCTTGAAAGCTGTCCTGACCTAGGAATTGAGAATTATGGTGTTTCCATGACAACATTGAATGAGGTGTTCCTGAAATTAGAAGGGAAATCTGATATTGACCAACCAGGTAAATAAAATTAAAGAAAGCTATCATGCAAACAGTATTTAGAGTCCCAGGCGGTGCAAATTTTGAAAACACTTTGTTCCAACAATGTCATAACATTTTTGTGAGCTTCTATGACATTGTGAATTGTTTAGAAGACCTGCAAAAGAATGATCCTCACATTTGAAGCATGGACATTTGTTTTTTGATATACTGGAATGTATTTCTAATAGCGGTATTTTAGACACTCAAAAGCAAAATTAGTAATTTTATAAGACATATAATGTTTTAAGGGTTCTTGTTATTTTCTTATTTAAAATCACTCCGTGACTTCATCATTCCAAATCTGCTCAAAACACCTTTATGGGGATTTGAATGGATTGCTCCAAACCTCCTTGCCCCTTTTATTCCGGAGTTTTCTGAAATGGACTAGAAAAATGAAGTAGCTTGTAGGAATTTACCTGTTGCCTTTCCCGCAGCTATTGGTCTCACACACCCAGTTGTGGTGGTGATGGGCTAACCTTAGGCACTCACCCCTGATCTTTTTCTGTGCACTGAAATGCTGTCCAGTCTCAGAAGCTCATCCAGCAGATGGCTGGGTGTCCCCCAGGAGGCACTAAGCCTGTCCTCAACATCCCACCTGCTCAAGGACTTTCTCCACCTGACAACAGCTGGGATGCAACAGTCCCAGGAAGCGAACAGGATGAGACTTGTCTGTCCTGTGTAGGCACTGAACTTATGGTTCTATCTGAAAAACATGAACATTTTGACAAGAGTGCCTTCCTATTCGTGAATGTGGATTGGTTTGCCCATATTTTTTATTTTCTTTGCATCCTTCAGCAAAATTTGATGACTTCAGAAAAGTTCCTACACATGTTTTGTTAAATTAACTCCTAAGTATCATACAGTACTTTGTATATTTTTTTCTTTTGTTGCTGTGTTTTGGCTCTTTTAATTGAAATCTTTTTTAAAAATCCATTTCTAATATTCAGTATGTAAAATCCTATTTAATTTGTATAAATTGAACTAATAACTAATAAACCTATGGATTAGATCCTCTACTACTGTTATAGTTTATTGCTGTAGATACACTAACTTAATAAAAGCTCCAGTGATACTTTATGTTCACAGTTTGCTGAGATTCACCATGAGTCAGTTATACTACTTAATTAATGAGTTATAATTTACATAACATAAAATGCCCATCAACTAATTTTTCATATGGAATAATTTGACTTCTTTGAATAATCACATAAAATAAGATGTAGAACATTTTCTTCATCCCCTTCTTTGGACCCTTCCTAAGCTTTCCCCCAAGTGAGTCTCTGTAAGCCAGCTATTCCAGAGTTTCTATTTCCCTGATTTGGAACCTAATACAAGTAGAAAAATAGTGTCAAGTTCTCCTACTTCATGTTTTGTTACTCAGCTGTGTCATTATGTGTTTCAATTTATTTCCTTTTCAGGAAACACACTTTGAAAGTGTTTCTATTTTTAGCGTATTAAGAATTAAGTTATAAATATCTGTACACAGTTTTTATTTACACAAATTTTCACTTTTCTTGGAATTTCTGCTCCTATTTACATAGATTGTGCTGAGCTTCTGACTCAAAGAATGCTCTTGAGAAAGTGTAAACAAGAGCCCATGAGATGGCATTTGCTAAGCATTGCTGACAATTTGTTTTACAGATATTGGGACTTTGGAAGATGTCCAAGCTGAAGGGACAAGAGACACAGGGAGGCTTTTGGAGCTGGAGGAAATTGTCTCCTGGCCTGATGGGATGAGTAAGGCAAAAGCTGGGATGGCTCTCTTGGGGCAGCAGGTGCGTGCAGTCGCCAGGGTTCGCTTCTTGAAGATAAAGCGTGAAAGGAAAGTTCTCTTCACACTGTGAGTGTCACTGGCTAATGTGGCTCCTTTCTTCAGTGATAATACAAATTTGGAAATTGAAACTGAGGCAATGGCACAAATTACCACAAAATGCTTTAACTGGAAAGAAAATGGGAAAGGAGTTTAGAATGAAGAGAAAGAACAAAGGACTATGGCCATGTTAGCTGGAAATCAAAGCTGGAGTCATTGTACAGGAAAATAAACTGGAAGTTTACTATAAAAGAAAAAATCAAAGCTGGCTGTCCTCTGGCAACCCCAGGAAACATACAGAGAAGCTGGCTACTTTAGAGAAAGGCGGGGAGTTGAGAGGACAATAAAGAATGGATTTCATTTCATGAGGTCTCGAAGAAATGTTTTCAATTATTTATTAAGTTTTTCCTCAAAATGAGGAAAGATGTCCAGGCAGGGTAGTGTATAGTTAATGTGTGGGGTGACTTTGCATGCAGCTCAACATGTGCTTAAAATGTGTTACATTCTTCCTCTGGGAGGACATTTTATTATGGAAATACATTATAATTAAGGTAAAATGGAGTGTAAGGTTAGTTCTTGTCAGATCCATCAATATGCAGATGTGAGGCATGGCACATAGTAGTATTTCAGCCAATACTTGTTGATTAAATGGGAAATTTGAATTTCTAGGGCTTTTGAGGAAATTGGTAAAATCAAGGTCCAAAGAAACCTTTAAAATTAATTCAGGAAAGCATTGTGGGACAGACTGGGGAGACTAAAGAATAGGGGGAGGCCAACTGTGTAGCAAAACAAGGAGAAGTGAAATACCCCAAATTTGGAAAGTAGAAATGAGTGAGATTTCAAGATTACCCAGATAATACTAACACAAGACTAGCTTTATTTCCAAATGAGATTAAGGACAAGAAGACAAGAAAAAGCAAAACCTAATCTAAATGTTTTTTCAGTTTGGGAGGCTTGGAAAGTGCATTTCCATAATAGAATAAGGGACAATAGGTAAGAGAGCAAGTTGAGTCTGGAGTATTACAGGATAATGCAGAAAAAAGACAATATAGGACAGAAGTACAGAAAATGAGCCTAGAACTGGGATTAGGATAAAGAAGCCATACCCCACAACTGCAAGGGTGAAATCACAATCAAAGAATAACAGGAGAAATGGACCAAGGATAAGCCCGTGGTTATCACTTCATTTTAGTCATAGAAAAAAATTCAAGAAGTGAGAGAACCACATATAGATTATGTTTATTTTTAACAATTTATTGCTTGTATTATAATCATGGCTGTAAAAACATTTCTGAAAGACTGGAAAATGGTTATGGATCCATACTGTTAATTTTATTCTGTGTAGGATACTGATCTTTGGAGTTGGACTTCTGCATATTTTGGCAGCAAATGCTCGCAAGATATTTCATCAAGATGACTACTGTTGGGAACTGTCTCCACAGATGTACTTCCTCACTCCTGACCAACAGCCCCAGGACCCTCTCTCTAACTTACTGATCATCAACAAGACAGGTGAAAACTTTGTTGCTATCAGTTTCCAAGTATACATGCTCTTAAAACGTTCCTCAGAAAACAGGCATGAAGAAAAAAGTGAACGACTTTTACAAATATATCATGAAGCTGAGTATGGTGGCACAAGCGTATAATCCCAGCACTCAGGAGGCTGAGGCAGGAGGATCACTGTGAGTTCGAGACCAGCCTGGGCTACAAAGTGAGCTCAAGGCCAACCTGAACTGCATAGTGAGACCCTGTCTCAAAAAGACAAAAAAACAAACAAACAAAAAGAAAAAATCCAACAACCAAATATATCATGAAGCTAAGAGATAAAGAAAATAATCCTAAATTGAACTAAAAAAGCTGAAAGCGATTAGCAAAGAACAAATGTATTATATTGATACATATTTAAAAATGAGGTTTATATAAAAATGTTTTAAAATTTATTTTCATAGCAATAATAATAATATAAGGCTATTTACCAAATCAAATAATTCATTAATTTGTGTGTTTAAAACCATCTTGAGAATACGGACATTTTGGTATCCACTGGTAAGGCAACTTATCATATGAATCTAGAAACTTCCAATCCAAAAATATAGAATGTGAACAAAAATTTTAACCAGAAATCACAAGTAAATGAGAAATCATTAAAACACACTTATACAACCTGTAAAATATTTTTGCACACACAAGAAAGATATACACAGTTTTACAGTCTGTGCTACTGCAGACTAGGGGTGTTTGTAGTACAGTTTCATTTGGATACATAACTGAACGTGTCTGCTTGGTTTTTGGTTGCCTCGTCCATTTCACTGCCAATAAGGAGCAAGCATTGATGACTTTATACATTCACTGGAGAAACAGAACATAGCTTTGGAGGTGGACGCCTTTGGAACTAGAAATGGCACAGAGGATCCATCTTACAATGGAGCCATCACCGTGTCAGGTGACAGAAAGGTATGTGGACACCCAGTTAGTGATTTTACTCCACAGCATGGCTCTACCATAATCTCAGTGTGACTCAGAAAAGCAATCTGTGCCACTGCACATACTTTTTCTGGTTAAAAATTATTTACATGCATAGAAGCAAATAATTCACATCTTGGGAGAGAATTTTGGCTATGATTATATCACTTAAGCCTCTGGATTTACTTACAAGGATGCAAGAACTACTGTTTCATACGTTATTCAATAAATTATATTGGTGGCTGTAATAGTAGTGGTCTCAGATGGTATTAACATAAGTTATCTTTCCCAGCAAAGTTCATAGCATCTAAAATGCATTGCAAAGATCAGAATTAAGTCTGTGGAACTCTTATACTCCTCATAGAGGCTGTACAGAACACACAGGCGAAAAGCTTTATTTTACTGAAAAATAATGCTCTTTATTTCTGACTTTGTGAAGTCTTAGGTCAGAGGACTCAAAGGTTATCTTCAAATCAAATATATTATATATTTATGATGAGTGTGTCCTCCTATGAGTTTGTTCATAATTTTAATAATATGCCAACATTGAAATAGCAGGGCATTGTTAAATTACCACGTTAAAATTTGCTTCTTCAATGAAAACAAAATTGAAGACCTAGTAATATATTACCCAGTTTCAGCATTTACGATATTGTTGTAGTGGAGAAGGCTATTTACACATCTCACATCCTAATGTTACATTTCAGCTTTCAGATTTTATAACCCTTTTACTCTATTTCAGAGTTACGGCTTTTCATTGGCATGTAATACCAAGAGACTGAATTGCTTCCCAGTTCTTGTGGATATTGTTAGTAATGGACTGCTTGGAATGTTCACACCATCAGTGAGCATTCAAACTGACAGGAGCACATATCCCGGTGTGGTAGGTGTATCATCTCACTGTTCTACTCTGTCAGGATTTCCCAGCTCATTCAGTTCAGAGCAGTCTTAATGGATCTAAATGTGACTGAGTAGAGCTCCGGAGAATAGAGCAGCATTTGAATGTCTCCTGGTTCCTGGCTCTGAAAAAAAAAAAAAATAAGTGCACTCACAGACCTTTAATTTCCTAAATGCAAAACAGCTGAAAAGATGTCTGGGACATTTTTAGAGGAGTGAATAAGGCAAAGAACATGAAACCACTGAGTACAAGAGGCAGAACATTCCATCCCTTAGGCTCATATGCTCAGATTCACCTGCACACTGCTGGCCAAATCAAAGGAGCCCATACATTTGGGTAAACAGGGAAAAGAATTAATTCAAAGCTGACTCCACAGAGATGGAGGGGCCGTTTTCTCTAAATCATCTTCTCATTTATAGGTGGGCAAAGGTCTTTTATAGTAAGGATCAGAGGGGAGGAGCAAAACAGGAGTACAATTCAGATCTCCACTCTTGCTTTGTCCTGTCCAGCCACCTTTGACTCATCCTTGTTGGCTTCTGGCCTCCTGGTGCTGGCACCTGTGTATTCTGTCACTTTTGGGGGGCTAAGGAGAGGAGGTTATGTGCTCAGCAGGAGGAAGTTCCTTATCTCTGAAAGCAAAAAGTCCAAACTTTAAATTCCATTTTGCAATGCCAATTAACATGAAAAAGCATATGTTTTAATAGGGGGAAATTAAGCAAAAAAAAAAAGAGAGAGAGAAAAAATTAGTCTTCTTTCCACCTGAATCAATGCATGCAATTGTGATCATCATTTCTTGATTATCATGATTCATAACTCAGTAGAACAGAATTTAAATTGTAATTTTCTGGAGAGGGAGTTACAAGGAATCAAACTCAGGACCTTGCACTTGCCAGGCAGGAGCTTGTACCACTGAGCTATATCCCCAACCTAGTAGAACAAAATTGCTTGAGAGAGCAACACAGACTTACTAGGGCATCATGGTTACTTGAGGTCTTCCAAATAGACCAATCCCTATGTCCACCCAGACCCACTGAAGCAGTCTTCACACATGAGAACAAGAACTTTTATTTTTATACAACTTAGATCCCATATGATCTGAATATTGTGTTACAGAAAGCCAAAAATGTATTAATCTTTTGTAATTATTATTTATGTTAGTCTCTGATAAATACATTTTTATCCACTGGTATGATCTCTGAAAAAGGTACTGTGTATTTTATATTGACATATTATGCCCTGTTCTCGGGATAAGAAGAGAAATAGGGGAAATATTAAAAACATACTTGCTACATTAGTAAATAAAACAGACCAGCAGTTTATCTCATGCCTCATTCAAATCTAGATTTCACTAGAAGAACAAATGCCATTGATACATCTACATATAAAATAACCCATGTGTCCAAAACTATTTTCATTTTCTGTAGCATAGTCTTAAATTTCTTTTTTTTACATCAGAACATTGTATGTTCAAAAATATGAACTCCTTTCATAGTATAAAATGGTAGGATGAATTCATTTTTCATGATAAATACTACTAAGAGTCATGGTAAGTGTTAATTTCCTCATATATAATGGATTTTTTTTTAATGTACAATCTTGTTGGTTTAATTTCCTGCCTTCTGAAGTCATTAAGCAAGAATAGAGGCTTTTTCCACAAGGTCATTCTGTATCAGCACAATGAGTCTGATACCAACCTGCACAACTAACTTTATACTGTCAGCCATGCTATCTCATGGGCTCTGCTTTTGCAGATTCAAAAATATTTGAAAAATCTGTACTAAACATATTAATACACACTGAGAATGAATGAAAGGAAACCAAAGTAGGATTTCAGGTTGTCAGGCTAATTATATTTTGAGACATGCAACCAGAAAATGAATTTCAGCTTTGTGCTTTAAGTTCTTTGCCCTTCTCACATTTTCAGGATGACATCCGCTATCAGTTTTATAATCTAGCCTATCTCATCTCATGGATCATCTTGATGTCCTCTCTTTCGCCTTATCTCTCCATGACCAGCATTGATGACTATAAGGTAATAAAAAATAATGGAAATTTTAGTTGCTTTAATTAACTAGTAATTTAGTATAGCAGATTGTAAGGTTTTCTTTAGGAGGGTATGCATGTTTGCATATGGAAAAATTTCTTTGTGTGTGTGTGTGTGTGTGTGTTTTCTTTTGGTACTGGGAATCGAACTCACGACCTTGAGCTTGCCAGGCAGGCACTGTGCCGCTGAGCTAAATCCCTAGCCTCTGGAACAATTTCTTAACACTTGTAAGTAATAGCAATACAAAGAAAGAATGAAAGGAAGGAAGAGAAGAATGAAGAACAAAGATAAGTTAAAGTTTAGAATATTTCATTTCTGGCTGATAGAGAAACTAGAATGAGATTTGTCCTCTTACCAAGAATATTTCAGTTAAAAAACAGAATATCTGTTTTCAGACCTAGGAAAATGTCTCAAAGTAGCAGACTGGGATACATCCAAGAAGAAAACAAGCAATATTTGCTCACATTCATCACAGTTTTCTTCCTGGAACTATCTTGTGGAATAGACACTAAGCAAGGTACAGAGTTGTTACTGAACCAAAGAGATAGAAATTTGTAGTTCAAGGACATCGAAGTGGCTGGAATTTGCACAGCAGAGTCACAGGAAAGATTGAGCTACAGAGAGAAAGAGCCCCAGGACTCTGCAGTAGGGTTACTTTGAATTTATTGCTATCACTAAGCTAATTACGTGTAGTAAAACTCCATGTAAGCAAGAATGAACAAGTAGTTATATATAATTCAAACAGCCCACAAAGAGCTAAAAAATATTTGATTCCCAATCAGTTATTAGAGGATTTATGAAGGGATTGAGCCTAGAAGGGTTGAGCTTAATTTTAGGGCTAATTAACCCTATAGTAAAGCTTACTGTTATTGTGTCTCAAAAAAAAACTTAAAAACAAGACTTAAAGTAGAGCACACAAGTGGATTGCCAGGATAGAACTGAACCTACTGGAAGAAGAATCTAAAACCCAGTAGCCAGTGGTGTAAAATTCACATGGGCCAACCCAAGAAAAGTTACCAGACATTCAAAGGAGTAAAAAAATATAAACAGAAACTGGATGGAAAGTCAATTGAGAAGAGACCCAGAAATGACAAAGATAAACACATAATGTTTCAAACAGAAACAGAAATAACATTGAAAAAACAAATATTAACCCTCTTAAGAATTAATGTGATCATTATGCTATTTTGTAAATGGATGTCTGTCTGTTAATATGTCTTCCTTCTTTTACTTTTTAAAATAAGAAAAAAACAATGTGATGAGAAGTGAAGCAAAAGAAATTTATGAAAACAAATCAGATGGGACTTTCAGAGCTACAGACTATCATGCTTGATGAAAAATTAAATTAATATTGTTTATAGCTATATTTCTATAGTATATAAATGGAAAAAGAGAGAAAAAAACTTCTGAGAAATTAAACAGAGCCTGAAAAAAAGTCTACCAATTGAATTCCCTAAAAGAGAGGAGTTAAGTCACAGAAATTGAAATTCATGGAATCTCAAACAGAACACACACAAAAAAATCATTAGATGTTATATCAGAATTAAATTGCTGAAACTAGTGATTAGAAAAACTTACACATCTACAAAGTACAGTGACATATTACAAAGAAATACAAATGGCAGTGACAAGACAGTTTTTAAAAAAACATAAGGTAGAAGATAAGGGAACAATATCCTTAAAATGTTAAAAGAATAAAATTATTGGGGCTGGGGATTTAGCTCAGCGGCACAGCACCCTCCTGGCAAGTGCAAGGTCGTGAGTTCAATTCCCAGTACCGGAAAAAAAAAAAAAAGAAAAAAACATTGTTAGATAAAGAATAAAATTGTCAAACTGAATATACACACACACACACACACAATCTTCAGTAAAACATATTTCAAAAATAAAAGAACTAATAAATTGAATGAAAATGAAAATTAAGAGAAATCATTGTTGACAATATACCCACACTTACAAATTACTAAAGGAAGTCTTTCAGATGGAAGGACAATAATACCAGGTCAAAATTGAGATGTATATAAAGTAAGGAAGAACACCAGAAATGGCAAATACAGATGGATACAGAGGAACAACCTTATAATCCCAGCTACCCAGGAGACTGAGGCAGGACTATCACAAGTTTCAGCCCAGCCTGGACAACTTTAAGAGATACTATCTAAAAGCTAGAAAGAAAAATTAGGAAGTAAAAAATAAAAGACTATAGATGTAGCTCACTGGTAAAGTGCTTGCTGACGTACATGAGAATTAGGGTTCAAATCCATATATCACAAACAGAAAAAATAGTAAGTATGTGGGTAAATGTAGAAAGTGATCTTTTCCTCTTTAAATGTTGTTTAAAATACACTTCTATTACTTATTCTGTTAGTTATTAACTATGTCCATTAGTTACCTCTATTAGTTATTAATTAGTATGTGGCAAATGCTAAAATTTAAAATGTGATTAAAACAATAACATCTAAAAGATTTACATTGTACAGAATATAGTCTCTATCTGAAATGTGATTAAATTAGGAAATAATCACATGCTTAGAAAATTATGAACTATCTGAAAACTAAAGACTACACTGCCAATAATGATGGATTAACAAAGAAATCACAATGAAAATTAGAAAATATGTTTAACTGACTGATAGTGAAAACTATATATTAAAAGTTTTGGAGGTTGCTAAGGCTGTTTTTAGATAAAACTATATAGCTTTCATTGACTGTAATCGCAAAGAAAGTCTAAAATCTGAGACTTCTAGTTTTACTTTCAGAAGCTAGAAAAAACAAGCCAAGCATCTCTCCTCATGCTCTGGTTCCTGTTCTCTAGCGAATAGCAGGAAAACAACCAAGACCTGAGTAGCACTGGGGACAGGAAGTGTGAAGTGAGGCCAGTCCCATGTATCTCCTCTCTCCCATCTCTGTTCACACTAAGGGTCCTTAGTGATGTAGAGACAATGTAGATCGATTCAGAGAAGAGTTTAATGGGAAAGTTATGGTACAAAAAGGATCATAATCAACTAAACAAAACCAACTAAAATCAAGTAAATTACATAACACTGATATTTTGAAATTATTATAGAGTTATGAGATGAGTGACGCGTTCCATGATTTGGACTGCTTGGTAGAATTTTAAATATAAAATTTAGCTTATTTAGAAAAGAGAAGTAACTAACAGTGATGTATGTTATAATTATCATGCAGATTGTTAAATATTTGAAGAAGAGCAGCTGTGAGGCTGTTTCAAAGTTTTAGGCAATATTTATGTATTTGTAGTGTTCAACCATTGCTATTGATTCAGAATGAAAAGATGAGAAACTTACAAAGATAAAGAATCCATTGTCCTACATGTGAGTCAAAGTTGGGTGGTTTCATGAAATTTAGCACTTATGTGGATAAATTTTTCCCTTATGTCTTCAAGCACTATTTTATCCACTGTAGTATGGATTACTTTACTATTCTGAGGCCTTCTCCCTGTCTCTGTCAAGAAGATTTTGAGTGATCATTTCATTAAGTACAAGCAAATTTGGGTGTATCAGTTTTGAAGTTACCCACCCTCTTTAGTCTGGAACGCATGTATAGGCAAAGTGTTCATTTTTATCAATAATGAGGAATTCATTTCATTGTTTCCTGATATGCTCTGAAAGCAAATTTTAGCATTCATTTATATCTCTCTGACTTTATTCAGAACAAAGCCCAATTCCAGCTGTGGATTTCAGGCCTGAACCCTTCTGCTTACTGGTTTGGACAGGCTCTGGTTGAAGTTCCCATCTACTTATTATTCATTTTATTTATGTACTTAGTATTCTATGCCTCAAAGCTCCAAGGGGATATATATACAACTGTTGATATATTTATTCAGGTAAGTGGCAGTACTCATAACAAAATTAGATGATCTAATCACAAATATTGACATTAATATAATATAATGCATTCTTTTAATACTTTGTTTAGTTTTTGAGGCTTATAAATTATTGTACAATATATAACATAAAATTTGCCATTTTAACCATTTTTATGTGCAAAATATAATTTAATGACTTTTTCTTATCACCCCCAAAGACTTTGTGCTCATTAAGCATTAAGTGTTTCCTGCTATTCCCATTTCCTACTATTCCCATCTGCGGTTATCTATAATCCTCTTTCAATCTCTGTGAATTTACCTATTCTAGATGTTTCACATAATGTTTATCCTTTGGGGGCTGGTTTATTTTGCATAGCATACAGTTTTTAAAGTTGCATGTGACAGAACTTCATTCCTTTTTATGGCTAGATAATATTCCACTCTCTGTGCATGCTTTATTTGTTCATAGGCACTAGAATTGTTTCCATTTGTAGGCTGCTACGAGTAATGCTAAAGCGAACATCGATGTACCATTGTCTGTTTCAATCTTGGTTTTCAGCCTCTTCCATGCTGTTGTGGTCACCAGCGACATCTTTCTGCATAGTGAGACCAACTGCATAAATTCATAATTATTGTGTGATTGTATTAGCATTGCAGTTGTATTAGTGATCTTCCATATATAATGAATCATTTACCTCTGCTACTTTCAAAATTCTCATTCTGTCTTTATACATCAACTGTTGGAATATAGGGTCGAGATCAAACTGTTTTGGGATGAGACAGGTTTCTTTTTCCTGTTTGGAGTTTGGTAATCCTCTTAGATGTGTACATTCACGCGCTTCATGAAATACAGACAATGTTCAGCTATTGCTTCTTCGTGTATTTTTTCTGTCTTCATCGTTCTACTTTTTCTGGAACTTCCTAGGTGTACATATTGGTTCACGTCATGTTATTTTACAAGTCTCTTGTGCTCCATGTACTTTTCTTTATTTTCTTTTTCTTCTACTCTTCAGACTGAATAATTTTAATGGGCCTTTGTTCAAGTTGGTTGATTTTTTTATTTCCCGCTCAAACATACTGATGACGTCTTCAGTGAAACTTTTATTTCCGTATATGTTTAAATTCTAGAATTTCTGCTTCTGTTCATTTTTATAATTTATATTTCTTTATTGATATTTTCTTTTTATATATACTTTGTTTTATTTCCTTTAGTTCTTTCTCCATGGTTTCCTTTAGTATTTTTTAACATATGTAATATAATTGTGTTAAAGTTGTCATTTTGTAAGTTCAATATCTAGACTTTTCAGAGATTTTTCCATTAATTTTTTGTTCCTTTGAGTATAGGACACATTTGTCTATTTATGTCTTAGATTTTGGGGGGAAAACGTGGACATTTGAATATCTAACATGGTGACTGTAGGTCACAGGTTCCCCACTTTGTTTAGAATTTACTATTTTAGTTATTACAAGCTATATTCACCTTTGGTTAGAGTATTTTCTAAAACATTGTTACAGACTCTATACTCAGTCATATACTCAATCTCTGTCCTTTTTCTAGTTCAACAATTATTTGCAAGACATTTCCTCGAGAACATAGACTCAAAAAACTCTTTCCTTTTTTTTTTTTTTTCTGTTTTTGTTTTTTTTTTTTCCAGTACTGGGAATCGAACTCACCGCCTCATGCTTGCCAGGCAAGCGCTGTGCCACTGAGCTATATCCCCAGCCCAGAAAAACTCTTTTCTATCCTATACAGATAGGTTCTGTGTGGGTAGTCCTTCAGCACCTAGGCAGGCTTGCGTGGCACCTGAAGATTAGCTAGCTGTCAAAACCTAGACTCTTCTTATGTTTTTTCACGGGTCCATATTCTGCCTGAGTACGTGCATGACTTCCTAAAAATCCTGACACATATGGATATTTTTCAGTGCTCTTATTTCCAAATGAAATTCTCCTTAGAATTTTTCCATAGGCTCAGGATGATCTATTTTATGGTTCAATTGTTCTATTTTGCTTCAGGCTGCTGCAGAAGGTTTCTTAGCTTTATATTCTCTTGGAGCAATATGTCCCACTTTTCCACCCTGAGTGAATTTACATGAGCTGAGGCAGGAGCGGATACCTGAACCTGTCCTTCAGACAGTTCTCAAACAAGTTGGGTCAGACTTTTACAGAAATTGGAGAATAAAATTAGCTGTGTTCTATCTGGACCGGGATCCTACGCTGAAAATACAGGTTGCCATCCTTAAGGTTATACTAAGCTGGACTCGGGGAGGCAGAATCAGAACATGCTAAAGCACTCCTATTGTCTTAAAATGGACTTTCTATTGATTCAGAATTTTCCATGAAACTTTAACTCATACCCTGAGTTCTAACAAAGTTGGTCCTGCCAGTTCTCCCTATGGTTTACTGATATTTCTGTTAAGAGAAGGGAATTTGGAGCTGTCTACTCTACTATTCTGCTGTTATCACTCTTTTAAACAATTTCAATGATATTTAAAGTATTCTAGAAATATTTTTTAAAATCCTGCTGTATGATAAGATATGGATTTAAATGGCTTCTGGGCTGGATTTATCCTCAGTATTCTTAATGTTGTCTTTAATTTCAGATTCTCTACATTGTTGGTTATTCCATATCAATGATCTTCATGACATATGTGATTTCGTTCATTTTTCGTAATGGGAAAAAAAATAGTGGCATCTGGTCATTTTGCTTCTATTTTGTAAGTATCTTTCTATAAATGTGTTTATTTTTATTATGAAGTTAAGAACTAACATTTTATCAATTTTGGTATGTGTGAGATAAAATAGTATTACACTTAAAATACCTTTACTGTATTTTGGGAGTAAATTTTTAGGGGTTGCATGATATAATTGTGGGGATTTACATTTTTAAGTATGCTTTTTTTCTCCATATCCATCTTGCTGGTTTTTTTGAAAGCTTCCAAATTGCTTATAGGACCACAAAATTTGGAATTGTTTTAATATTCTCCTTAGGGAAAAAGTAACTGAGGTCCAAAAGACCATGGGAAGATGCAGAAGATTATAAATAGTAGAAGAGCTAAAACTGAAAACTAACTCTCCAAATTTCCCATTCAGAATCCTTTGATAAAAATCACAATTCTCTCCATAAAATTAGGAGTGCAAATATTTATAAATTACATATTTTTTCTATCTAACTTGTGTTTTTTAAAATCACAATTAAATTATCACTTAACAAGTACTTGTTGATTTTCCCTGTGTGCCAGGCTTTGAGACTAATGAGTAAAAAGAGCTATAAAAGTCCATAGTATCTACTATGAAGATGCCCTTAAGGGGAAATAGATAAACACATAGGTATTTATATTGCAAGATATTAAAGACAAGATTATCTACTGAGGTAGAGCATCTATACATTGAGTGATTAAAAAAAAAATAAACAGTGAAATCTAGAGATGGGTTCAAGGCTAATTTCTGAAAACGAATTGTGTGCCAAGAAGACTTCTTAAAGAAGAGAGATATTTCAATTGGTTGAGAAGGATAACGCAAATAGAAAATAATGGATGAGCAAAAACTAGACGGAAAGAAAGTCAGGCTGATCCTAAGAAATGCTAAGAACCTGGTGGCCTATGAATAGGGAACAAAGCAAAATCCAACTGTCCTAACTAAAAGGGAAGTTTAGGTTGATCCAAGTCTAATCTTCAGTGATGTGCTCACCAATTTATTCTACAGGTTTTTCATGTTGGGAAAAGGTGAAAGATATGTCTTTCATGCTGGGAAAATGTGAAAGCTTTTATAATACAAATACAATCGGAGATGTAGGCTTAGAAACTGTCATGTGACCATGAAAATGACCTTTTAAAGGAAAAGGTAGCATAGAAGTTCTCAGCAGTTGTTACAGTAGCTTAGAAGAGGAAGCATGAGTCTGTGATGTGCCTACATCTCATCTTTGAACTCTGCACTATAATGTCTCTAACTATGTCATTTAAAGGTATGTTATGTTCTTATATTACAGGTAAAGCTATATTGTATGCTGATATACCTAAGAAAATAGTGTCCTCTAGTTTTTCATTTCTGTTTTTATTCAGTTTCAAAACTATTTCCCTTTAATGATTGCCTGTATCTTACTTAATTTTTCTCTCTAAAGACATTGATCCCAACTTTAGTTTTGATTTTCCATGAATAAAACAGAATGTAAATTTTTAAATCTATACACCAGATCCTAAAGTGTGTTGCCTTTGGTACATTTGTCATAGCCAAGCCAAAGAAACTGAAGCTTAGGAGGAACTGTTCATGGTAATATTGATTTTACCTTGGTTTATGAAATAGATGTCAAAATCAGAAAATCTGCTCATGATCCCAAATTTGAAAATATACTGTCTCAGAGAGTAACAACATAGATGTTTATTTTTCTTGTAGGTCACACTGGTTTCCACAGTTTTCATGGTTGATTTCTTTATGGAGACATCTCAGTTTTGGACCAGTATCTTAATTCCACCTGCCACCTTGGTTGGTTGCACACTGCTACATTTTGATGTAAGGAATGCCAATATGTGTTCAAGTGTCTTGAAATACATGATCATTTAGGAAAGCATTCTCCTTAGGGCAGAAATATGCACTTTGAAAGATGAATAGCTAAATTTTAAAAATTAAAATATAAAGTCCACCACCCAGAAGAGTCTCTAGTCCTGTTGGCCTAAAGATAGAAATTGGTCTTGATCACTGTCTTTTGGTAGAGTCAGGATGAGGGGGAGAAATGTGTACACTGATAAAGTCATTGAACATATTCAGTCTTAATAGCAGAGAAAACCACCCCCCCTAATATATGGGGATTTTGATACACCCTAAGATACTATATTTTTTATTTGGTACAATATAGTTACATTTGATTTGGTACTGTATTTTTATTTGATACAAAAGGAATAAATTTCCATTTCTCAATGACTAATTTCTATACACATAAAAAAAGAAGGATGAGATAGTACTCAAAATAATCATTATTCACTTACTAGTCATAGGAGGGTTTCTGGGGATGTCAGTCTCGGGGAATCTAACAAAAGCACTGAGCCCTCTCCAACTGCTACGAGGTCACTATTGATTTAAGATCCAATGTCCTGATTACCAATTATGTGTACTGTCTTACAGCTAATACTTCAATATATCCTAGCACGTCCTTGATAATGGATTATCAGAAAGATGCACCTGTGGAACAAATTTCCATGGCTGTGGTTAATAGCATCTTCTTTAGGCGAACTTGTCTGTGCCCTCCTTATCTGAGAACTGACTGAGAGAGGACTGCAGCATGGTGGTTCTAAGCATCTAAGGAAAAGAGCAATGGCAGAGGGATGCCACCAATGACCAGTGGCACAGGGAAGGGAAATGTGCTGAGAGTGAACTCTGTTTCCCACACCGTAGGGAGTGTTGCTACCACAGACCCCCAGGTTCTCTGAGCACCTGACCCAGAGTCACAGAAACTCATTCAGATAAAAGCAGTGCACCCCCACATGCATCTAGGAGTTGGTACATTCCCTTCTGCCCTTGGGAATCCTGGGGAAACTTTAGCAGATCTGCTCAATGGACCAATCACATTTATTTGAGTAAAACTCGGGCATCACAAAGCTTTACGTTTAACCACCGCCCTTCCTTTTGCAGCACTGTTTAAATGCATATTATGGCATCATTTCCGCAGAACAAGAGAAGAAACATGACTTCCTGGCATTCCTAGTAGTAAGTCTGACTCTCATTGAACTATTCCTGCATTTGGAGAGACGATTCTGATTACATTCTGCAATTGTGCTTTCTTGTTTATGTTTTGAAAATTTACTTAAGACGTCTCCTACAACATAAGTCCTACAACATACAATATCTCTAAAATTAGAGTGAATCTTTACAAAGATCCCAAGAATAATCCTTAATTCTGGGGATAAAGATAGATATAACCTAAGCATCAATAAAATTCTGTGTGCAATGAAATATGGATATATTTTGACATAATGTAAAACACTACTAGTTTTTCTCTCCAAAGAAGTGTAATCGAACTTGACATTTTGTGACTATCCAGATAATCTGCCCTTCAAATTCTCAATATTTTGCCAAATATATGCTTGTGAAAGAATGAGACGTTCTAGCTCACTTCTGACACTCCCTTTTAGTATTTCTAATTCCGAATGTCTTTCTTTCTCCTCAGTCCTATGTCCACATTATCATCTTTCTTGTTATTCTTCGATGTCTGGAATGGAAGCTTGGAAATAAAACAATGAGAAAGGATCCTGTCTTTAGGTTTGCAAAAATATTTTAGTGTTTTTTAATGATAATTTCTTAAAGATATTGCATACGGGGGGAAAAAAACCTAGTCAATTATCAAGGATGTGCTAGGATATATTGAAATATTAGCTGTAAGACAGTACACACAATTGGAAACCAGGACGTTGGATCTTAAATCAGTTGTGATCTCGTAGCAGTTGGAACAGTGCTAGCTCCCATGCAACACTGAAAACCAAGGGCTTCCTCCGAACTGTTTTCAGTGGGGGCCTGTGGCACATTAGATGAGATAGAATCAGTTTGTGTAATAACTACTCAGTCTAGCCTACAGCTGTAGGAATACAGTGAATCCAGAAAAGAACACAGAGTGACTAACAGACCAAAAATAGCAACAACCACTCTTTTCCTGGAAGGGTGAGAAGCCCAGCAAGTAGATAATGAACAGTTCCCTTCACACTGCAGTAGAAAAGGAAATGAGGTCAGATATCAAATGACCTTGAAGGTGGACAGTTTGTATTCAGGGCTCAAGAACAAAACCAGCAGCCTCTTACATTTAAGACCTCATTCATCATTGGAATCTGCACTTAGAAATCCCCGCTTGCCTAGAATTTTCACAACCTTAATACTGGGTGTCCCATGTCCCTTGATTCCAAGAAAACTAAGCCACTTGGCCATCCTGCCACCATGCAATGTCATCTTTAACTGTGACAGAAAGTCGAGTGCTAACACGACAGCAGACCTTGAGTGCATCATCTGGGATCCCATGGGAAAAGAAAGGGTAGAGGGACCAGCGCCCACAGTAATGATCTTGGTATTAAGGTTTGAGCTGGAATGAAAAAGAAAACACTAAGCTGACATATCTTGCAAAGGAATGCTTGTGCTGAATCACATAGCTAGAATTTTTTGTAGCACACCTAACTTTTAAATATCCTGGCCCATCACTATCAAAAACGTTTTGACAAGGTCCGTGTTTTGGCCTCATAACTATGGTTTCCAGAGTATTTACTGTAATTCAGTATATAATTTTCTTGCTAGAGTATGTGCATCAAATTGCCTGTTGAGACTAAAAAATATAGCTCCATAGTAAAGATAATGAAAGAGAGATAAGAAGCAATATTTCCTTCCTTTGCTGACACTACGGATTAAATCAAGGTGGTCATAAAGAGGAAAGTTTTCCTAAGAAGACACAAATCATGCAGTGCTATGCATCATCCACTGTACTCAAATATAAAATTTAGAGGATGAAATGATCTTGCTATGACACTGGCAAACAGCATCCAATTATTAACGAAATTCTTTAACTCTAGAATTTCTCCAAGAAGGAGTAGTGTATCTCACAACCCAGAAGACCCAGAAAGGGAGGATGAGGATGTCCAGCTAGAAAGAGTAAGAACAGCAAATGCTTTGACATCTCCAAACTTCGAGCAGGTAAAATGTGCCAAGCAGTGTTTTTACCAAGAAAATTATTGTCAGTTAAATGAACCCAGTTCTGACACGGTGTTACCCTACTTCAGTGTAGTTCTAAAATCTTTTGGTCTCTTAACTCCTTCACTCTGTTAAAAATTATTGAAAAGCCCAAGTACCTGTGGTTTAGGAGGGCTAAATTCATGAAGGTTTACTGTATTAGAAATCAAACTGAGAAATATTTTAATGTTTAATACACTTCCACACTTAACATTATTAAACTCAATATATGCTAACATAACTAGCATTTTTCATAAAAGTAACTGTAATTTCCAGTGGGAAGAAAGACTTTTATGTTTGCAAATGTCTGTTATATCTGGCTGACAGATGAAAAGTATATTCTTGTCTCTTCTATATTGTTTATTACAATGTGTTATCCTGATTTAAAGTATATGAAGAAAATTCAGCCTTGCAGACAATAGTTCAGAAAATTAGCAATGTGTCCATTATCTTTCTTTTTAGATTATCATAGATTTTTTCAATGATATTAAAATAATAAAATCAGATAATTTTAAAATTAGATAATTGATATTTTCTTTAAGCTTAGTTAAATGTAAAATCTAAAATCCTATTTTAAGCTGTTTTGGGCTTGGTTACACTAAAATGCATCCATTCGTCTTGCCCTTTAGCCAGACCTGACTTTTAACACCATGCATTGGCCATTTGGCTCCTATTCATTCACAGAATTACTGTGGTTTTTCTAAATGTGAGTGTATTTCATTCAATAGCATAAAAGCACCTGTGGTAAATTTGCAATCACGTTGTAGAAAAATATTTATATTGAAAGCTGTCAAGGGATTGGGGATTTAGCTCAGCGGCAAAAGCTCCTGCCTGGCAAGCGCAAGGTCGTGAGTTTGGTTCCCGATACCGGAGAAAAACAAAAAACAAGCAAACAAACAAAAAAGCTGTCAAAGTTATGATGATGGTTATAAGTCTTAAGAATTCTAAAATTTTGAAGTTTGCTTGTATTCCTAATTTTATCTTCAGCAACAGATAATATCTATTGCATTCTGTGAAATGATAGCTCGCTTCACTTGGTTTTTAAAAGATCTGCCACATTCCAGACTGACTGTTTGTCAATTTCTCTCTGAAATAAAAACAGAATTCCATTTACAAAGTACCTACTTCAGCTCAGAACTCAGCTATGCAATTGCTTTGTCTGGAAACCATACAGCAAAAAAGTCTTTGCGTCCTTCTTGCTTTGTCCCTGGGAATATGAAAATCATCAGTACCCAAAACTGAGCTTTTAAAAAAATGATCCCCTTTTAGTCTTTCATCCAGGACATTTTCAAAAGAAATAGGCACTTTTTTTCACACTAATTCATGGTAGGAGAGCATTCACTGATGGGTTACTGGCTCGATTTGTGATCAGGTACCAGCAGTTTTCCTCTTTATGGCTTTTGTACCATTGATACAAATATTTCTATATTTAGTCCCTGTTAAAAAACCACCATATATATATATATATAGATAGATATATATATATATATATCATTCCCTTGTATAACTTGTCATTTACAGACACCTGCCATTATTGCTAGCTGTCTTCGCAAGGAGTATACAGAGAACAAATGCCTCTTTTTTAAGAAAAAGAAGAAAATAGCAACAAGAAATGTCTCTTTCTGTGTTAGAAAAGGTTTGGACCCAGTACCTCTTCTGTTTTTGTCTGAAGAACTTAACAAAAATTAATTTCTCCTTGAACGGGAACACAGTGGGGTCTGCATTAAAATAACAAGCTTTGTGTTCGAATAAACCGTTGAAAGAACAGACTTTTCATTTTCTAACATAACTGCTTTCCTAATGATCACTGCTCTGCCCAGAGAACTGACCCAGGCTGCATGAGGAGTAGATTCTGAAATGTTGAACATGTTGGGAGTACAGGGTAAAAAGAACCAACCTGCTGACTTCCTCCTCCTCCTTTTGGCACAGCTGGTTTGCAAGTGCATCCCTGTTGGTCCTCATACATGTGGCTTTCGGCAAGTAACTGAAACTCTTCAAAGTGTTAACCCCTCTAGGGCCATCATGACAGTCAAAGGGAATTTTATAAATAAAGCACATATGCCACACTGACAATAACATTATTATTATTGATGTATGTTCTTTCTTTGCAGGTGAAGTTCTAGGATTATTAGGGCACAATGGGGCTGGTAAAAGCACAGCCATTAGGATGATAACTGGAGAAGCAAAGCCAAGTGCAGGACAGGTGGGTGCATGAGATGAACAGTATTTTATCCAACAATATCCTGGGGGCAACCTGAAACAGGTTATTCACTGGTTTTCCTTAAAGTGACTTAAACAATATACTGAAGAACAAATTGACAGATTATTACTTTAAAGCACACAAATGCTAGTCATTGAATGTGGATGCCTGCGAACTGTGTTCACTATCTTTTTATTTCTTTTAAGTGAATTAAGAGAGAATGTTGGCCAGCATAATTGGATAATAATCATAAAATCCTGACAAATTCTGTTTTAAAGCCTCAGAGTTTATGGCTTATACTTAATGGACATTGTTACTTCAATATTCTAATGTTTAATATTGAGTAGAACTGTGTAAAATATAAAACAAAGTCTTTCGTTTACTGACCTTCATAAAGTGCTACTGCCAAATGAAAAGTCATTGGGCAAACTCGATCTGACACGAGTCTTCCCCAGTACAAATGAGATAAAGTATGTCTAAGAATGGTGAGAAAGTGAGGCACATGGCAGTGGAGGTGAATAAACTTTGCCCCTGTATTGTCTGTATCCGAAGCAGAGGCCAAGCAGAGAGTCAGAGAGCTCAGAGTTATCAAACAGAGGAATCACAATACAGAAACAAGATACTGTCTACCAATTTCTATGACAGAAAGAAAAAAAAATCTTGTTTTATTAACAAAAAATAAAAACGATGCAAAATTTCAAAACAAGATAGTAAGAGAGTAACAATGGTGAGTGGATTACTTATGGTTATCTTTAAAGTAGTTGCTCAGATTACAAGATATAGGCATGAAAAATTGATCAAGTGATGCAAGCACAAACCTTTCCAGAACTCCTTTGGAAAGTGTGTCCAAGAGAAGGCCAAGGTCTGTGGCACTGTACCAAGGAAAGTGTCAGTGGTCAATTGGGTGGGGGGTGGGGAACGTAGCCATGAACACTATTTACAAATATCCCAGGAAAGAAGGAAGAGAAGTCCCATGTTCGCAGTTCCTCTGAAGGCATGAAGTCAGCAGGCAGTGGGAAGAGGTCCCTTTGCAATGTCCCCAGCTCAGCTGACCCTAACTGAACTGCTTACTTCAGCTGTGCCAACTCTCCCATTCAGAAAGCACCAGGATCCAAAGCAGTGCAGTTTTGCAATTCTCCTGAAACATTAGAGCAAAGGCATAGCTGTTCATTGGCCCATTGGAATAAAATATTTCAGAATGAAAGCTCCAAGTGATAAAACCAACCACTTAGATATTATGAAATGAGTTTAATCCCATCAGCCAGTATGAAGTTTTTCAACCATGTTAGTGTCTTAAATGCTTTCAGCAATCTCTCCATTCTGGCAGATCACCTCTCCTTGACCTGTGGGTGGCTGCAGTTGATGACTTCCATGTATTTCTGCTGCTTCTCTTCCTTCCTCACTCACTCTCTGCCACCCACCCCCACCTCGCAGCGAAGAACACATCAAGCTTCACCCTGTACGGGGCTTTGCTCTTGCTCTTTGCTCTGCCCCAAATACCTTGCCTCAGACCTTTCCATGACTGACACCTGCTCCTCCTCTGCTGAAGTGGCCACTCCGCCCACAGGTAGGATCCCTGGCACCCAAACTAATACCCTCTGCCCTGCTCTTCTCCACCTCAGCTTCCCAAATACGTATGTCAAAATACTAATAAAAAGCGTATCCAGTTTGTTATTTGCTTGTCTCATCATAGAGTAGAGGTGTTGTATGGGCAGACACTGAACAGTTTCTTCTTTCTGGATACAGCTCTTGTGTGACATCTAGAACATAAAAGGAACTAAAAAATAAAGTTTATAACTAAAATGAAGTGTCAAACAGCTAACTTAAGGTGCTTGAATCTGATACCATTGAAGGAATTTTTTAGGTGAGCCATAATTTCAAGATCCAACAAGTCTAACATGTTTCATTTTTTTTCTTTTTAAAAATATTTTCTAAAATGTAGTTTATTGGTATTTAATACTTGGACATCTTTATGGGGTCCCATGTGAACTTTTTTAGATGATTAAAATATGGAATGGTTAAATCAGGCTAATTAACAAATCTACCACCTCACACATGTATTGTTTTTCGGTAGTGAAACATTTAAAATCTATTCTTTTAGCAATCCAAAAAACAAAATGAATTATTATTTATATAGTCACCATTTTGTGCAAGATCATGAAAGCTTATTCCTCTTTTCTAAAAGAATCCATGTAAGCTTGGATCAACAGCTCCCTTTTCTCTTCCAACTGCCTCTTCTGGACTCTGGTAAACATCCTCCTTTCTAATTATATGAATTCAGCTCCTTAGATTCCCCACGTAAGTGAAATTATGCAGTATTTGTCCTCAGTATCTGTCTTATTCAGCAAAATGTCCTCCATGCTCATCCCTGCTGTCACAAATGATGGGATTTCCCTTTTCAAAGGCTGACTTGTGTTCTATTGTGCAAAATTCTACCCCATTTTTTTCTCCATTCATCCATTGCTGGTCGCTTAAATAGATTTCCTATCTTGCCTACTGTGAATAGTGCTATAAGAAAGAGAAGAATGTGATATCTCTTGGGCATACTGATTTTAAATCCTTAGGCTATATATACCTTGAAGTAGGATTACTGGATCACATGTTAGAGGAGAATTCATGCTATTTTCCACAATGACTACACTGAAATATATACCCTACCCACAATGAACATGACTTTACCTTCCCTACCTGCTCACCCATACTTGCCTCTTGTTTTTTTAATAGCAGCTATTGCTAACGGGTATGAGGTGATATTATATTGTGGTTTTAATTTGCATCTCACTGCATTTTTCAACATAGGTCAATGTGGTACCTTTGCGTACTCTTGGGTCTGTGTGTTCATTCTCTGAATGAATTCCTTTTCGCTTGCTCGATGATGGCCAGAAATAATAAAGAGATAGCATAGCAACACAAAGAGGAGAGCTGCAGATGCAGGTTCCTACAGTGACCTTCTGTCAATCTGTTCGCAGGTGCTACTGAGTGGCAGCAGCGAGGCCAAGCCCCTCGGGTTCCTGGGGTACTGTCCTCAGGAGAACGTGCTGTGGCCCAGCCTGACCGTGAGGGAACACCTGGAGGTGTTTGCGGCCGTGAAGGGGCTGAGCAAGGCCGACGCTCCGGGGGCCATCACACGGTACACAGGGAGCCACGCCTGTCCTGCTCTGCACCCAGGGGCCAGCGACCAGGCTGAGAGTAATGATGTCCTCTGAAACTTAAGATGGGCAACTCCGAATGCTGACCCATTTGTAGTTCAGCTGACTTAATGCAGTTTTTTTTTTCTTATCTATCTCTCTCTCTCATTTGAAGCATGAAAAGATAAAAGTATATATTCAATGATAAAAAATGGTTGCATGCTTTTAAAATTTAGGTATGAGCTACAGTGCACAAGAATTATTTGGACACCATAAGACGTATTTACAGTTTTACAAAATGCAAAATATGTCTCCCTGGGGAATCAAATCATTTGTCATTTTCAGAGCACCCACTCTCCCAATGTGTTTCCGAAACTGCATTCTAGACTTTGTTCCCTAAATCTCTCCTCCCTGGACTGTCCTCCCCCGCCACCCCTTTGTGGAACAGACTATGGAGCTCTGCTGTCTCCCGTTCAGGTTGGTGGAGGCGCTCAAGCTGCACGACCAGCTGCAAGCACCCGTGAAGACCTTGTCAGAGGGGATAAAGAGAAAGGTAAGCGAGGGCTTGGCGCGTCCCCCTGTGCTCAACGACCAGCACCAACGCGCTGTCCCTCTCCTTGCAGTTGTGTTTTGTGCTGAGCATCTTGGGGGGCCCGTCGGTGGTGCTTCTGGATGAGCCGTCCACCGGGATGGACCCCGAGGGCCAGCAGCAGATATGGTGAGCAGCCATGCTGCCCTCAGGGCCAGCGCTGATTCCTGCGGGAGATGTTTCGATTTTGTTAATATTGTTAAACACACACCAAAAAGCAAGAAAACAAGCAAACAAACAAAAAGTTCCCTTCAGATTGTTTTTAAGAGCAGCAAATATTATCCGTGTAATTAGGAATTAATATTTGGCCAAAAAAATCTTTTTATGGTACTTGATATCCATTTCTCACGGAGAGAAAAAATAAGCTTTTCAGAATTCAGTTCTTTTTTGGTGTTTAATTTGCTTGTTCGACCTTGTTTTGTACTGAAGTTTTCTGTTTGTGTAATAATTAGTGGCTCACTTAGAGCTGGGGATCTAGTTGGCCTGTGGGGTTTGAGGTTCCTACATGCTTTCATTTAGACATTTTCTGTCCTGTCTTTCTCAGCCGTGAAGGTCCTGACACTTCTGGAGTGCAGCTCACTTTTGTCTGTCTTCTCATGCACACTTATCTTTATGCTCAAACTTCCTACTCATGTACCCTGCCATCAAGGTTTTCTCCACATCTGTCCTTCAGCTCAAGTCCCCAGTTTCATGCTGGGCATGTGATGCAATGACAGAACACTTGCCTGACATGTGCTAGGCCCTGGGTTTGATCTCTACCCCTGCAAGCAAAATAAAAGAAAGAACATCCCCATACTCCTGTCTAGACTGATTTGCTTGTGCTCATCCTGCCTGATTCCCTCTGGCCTCTAGATTTATTATTTGTGCTTTCTGCTCTATGAAATTTCCATTCCACTGTTTCCAAATGAATCAGAAGACTTCCATTAATTGTACGTGTCCTCATGACCATATAGGAAAGCCATCCAGGCTACCTTTAGAAACACAGAGAGGGGCGCTCTCCTGACCACCCACTATATGGCAGAGGCCGAGGCTGTGTGTGACCGTGTGGCCATCATGGTGTCCGGAAGACTGAGGTGAGTGTCCGTCTTCAGCCTACACCTGACTCTTCCGTGTTATGAAAGCTGGCAACACTTATTCCACTCCCCATTTGAAATGACAGGACAGTGATTAATTGAGCAATTTTGGGCATGTTTTTAAACATGCTTCCCTCACTTGTCCATTTTCAACTCCTGCTTCTACTCCAGATGTATCGGCTCCATCCAGCACCTGAAAAGCAAATTCGGCAAAGATTATCTGTTGGAGATGAAGGTAAAGACCCCAGCACATGTAGAACCCCTCCACGCAGAAATCCTGAGGCTCTTCCCCCGGGCTGCTCGGCAGGAAAGGTAAAGCTAGTTCCTCTTTTTGATCTGGTACCAAATATTCTTTTTCTCCTGGGAGTTGTTTTGCTCTGCCACCACCAAGGCCATGTTTAACCCAAAAGAAAACAAACAAACAAACAAAACAAAAAAGTACTCTATTTGTGGGACACTGCAAGAAATAGAATACGTAGATGGCTGATTGAGAAGACCATGTCACATATATTGTGGCCTTACTATGTGCTAGGTACTGCACATGGTCTGTTACCTAATCATCGTCCAGATCTTTAAACGTAGATGCTGTTATTCCAGTGAATAACTTGGGTAACGAACTGATGTTTACAGGGAATTCACTAAGCAAATTTTACTTTTTTTCAAACAAACTTTTCATGTTGGAATAGTTATACAGAAAAGTTGCATCTATAATGTAGACTTCATCTACAAATTTCACCCAATTTCCCCTATTAACATCTTGCATAACCTTGGATCAAGTTTAAAAGCTGAGTAATTAACAGTGATACATTACTGTTAACTAAATTATAGATTCATTCAGATTTCACCACTTTTCCTACTAATGTCTTTTTACATTTATGGAATCCTATCTGGGATAACACATTGCATTTAGAATATTTTAAAAGAATTTTTCAACTATTTGATGATAAATTACACATGCCTCGACACTTTATTTTTCAATGTGGTAACATATATCTCCTAAAAATGAGGACATTTTACATAATCAAGATAGTTTTATGCCCTAGAAGTTTAACATGATCAATAATATTAGATAAGAAGGTTTCCAAATAAAATTAGGAAAAAAATTTCCCATCTGAATGACCACTGTGCTTTATATTTAAACTCCTCAAGAGCCAAAATACAAGGATACATTTTGTGTTCTGTTGATCTCCTTTTTTAAAATTAATACCCATCAGTTAATGGATACATACGTCATTTCCAAGATTTAGCGATTGTGCTAAATATTATGCTCCTACATAATGGATATATGTATTGATGCTCCTATATACCTGAGGTCTTTAACTCTTTGGGGAAGATGCCTAAAGGAGAATAGCTGTTTCAAATACAATCTCTGCTTTAAGTGTATTGAAGAATCACCCTATGACATCCATAGTGATTAACTACTTTATATTCCAAGGAATGATTTAGGTGGGTATTTTTTCCCTGCAGCCTTGCCAGCATTTGTAATTTGATTTCCTGCTTGCTTTTGGGTTCCTGCTGCATGGAGTATTCTTTTTCATCCTTTAATTTTTACAGTATGAATTATTTTTTGGATTATATATGTCTCTTATACATATCATTACCACTGTTCTTTTTAAATGAAATATGCCAATCTGTGTCTTCAGATTGGTAGTTGTGATCATTGACACTGAGAATAATTATTGGAAGGTATTGACTTATTCCTGACATTTTGTTTTTCTTTTTCTCCTGTTGCTGACTCCTTTATTTTTCCCCTTTACCTAACTTCTCACTCAGTCTGCTTGATTTTTTTCATTCTATCAGACATTTTGGCATTGTTAACTTCATATTCTGTCTAGGGTATCCTTGAGAATTTTATGGGGTACTGGTTTGGAGGTCAGGAATTTCTTAAGGTATACTTTGTCATGGAAAGTGCTAATTTCTCCATTAATTTTGGAACACAATTTTGCAGGATATGTTTGTCTGGTCCAAAACTTGTTTTCTTTTAGTGTTTGAAACACTTCACTTCAAACTCTGCTGGCCTTTGAGGCTTGTGTTGAAAAGTCTGCTGTAATTCTAAAGACTTTAACTTTGTAAGTGATCACTTTATAAGTGATTCATTATTTTCCTCTAATAGCCTTTAAGATTCTATCTTTGTGATGGACTTCTGGAATTTTGATATGAAGCATCATGGAACACTTTTTTCTGGTCATGGCTATTTTGGGTTCTCTGTGCCTTGTTTATCTCTAAGTTGAATTCTTTCTCCTTACACGTAAAGTTTCATGCTGACTTTCTGTAAATATTCTTTAAGCTATTTATGCTGTCCTCCAACCTAGGACATTCCTAGGTTGTCCTAGGAATTCTTTCTGTAATTCCAATTAATCAGGTGAATCTTTTTTGAGTCACTTAGTAGCTGCTGGATCCATTTCCCATCATCTGTTTAGTGCTTTTTAAAGGTATATCTGAGTATATGGTCAAACACACTAGTTCCACCTTCTAACTCTGAAACTTTCTTCTCGCATTGCTCGCTTCTGTTTCCTATACATACTTTAGAAATTTTTACCTCTCATGCTCCTGTTTGCCACATTTTATGGACTGTAATTCTTTATTGAGTTGGTCTTTCATGTTTTGAATCATTTCAGTTAGCTCTGATAGTTTTTTAATAGTATCTTCTCTAAACTCACCGACCATTTTTTAATTGCCTATTATCTCTTTAATTATATCATCTTTGGTTTTTTATTTCCTCCACATTCATGCCCCTTGGATTTCTTTTAAGAGAGGTGGAAAGCATTTTATCAGCTTGTTTATTCATGATTGTGTGTGTGTGTGTGTGTGTGTGTGTGTGTGTTGAGGGTTAAGCACCAGTTAGAATGGAAAGACTTTGTTGCTACTATGTAGGTCACTCTAGTTAGTGTCAACTTGACAGTGATGTGTTCTTGGCTCTGTTTTGCTTGGATGTTTATTTACCTCTTTGACTTACTCCACTTATTGAAATCAGACCCCATTGGGGGCTGGGGATTTAGCTCAGTGGCAAAGCGCCTACCTGGCAAGTGCAATGTCGTGAGTTTGGTTCCCAGTACAGGAGAAAAAACAAACAAAAAAAAAGAAATCAGACCCCATCACTGTTTTACAAACAGAGGATATCTACTGGTTATAACAACAGATATCCAAACATACATCAATTGTGTACATTAAAACTTATTTTAACAACTTCATTCTTTTGTTAATGCCTCTTACTGAATGAATTAGACTAGTACAAACAGACTAAGATGTGGAAAGTAGGGAAAAGAAAAAGAAAGAGGAAATGAAAGGAGTAAGTCAGTAAGAAGGAAAGAAGAGAAATATCAATAAGTGAAACATAGATCAGACCCTGTTAGAATTATTTTTATAGCTTGAGTAAAGGGTTATAAGAGAGAACCTTTGTGAGATCAAGAGAAGTGTTTCAAAGACAGGGAAGTGTACCTACAGGCTGAGGGAAGCTGTGAGATTGTCAGAACCTGTTTATTTGTTAGGAGTTAGTTAGTTTATGATTGGATCCTCTGTGTACAGTTTTGGTGAGGGTTATCCTGACATGACCATGGCATGTACTGTTTAAATTGGAGCACCAGTTAATTTTTACAGATACCATATATATACACCTACATGGATTTATATATCTATATCTATCTCAGATAGGAGGAGGAAACGGAGGGAAGATAAAGGGATAGGGAAGAGAGGACAGGAGAAAAATAAGAGAAAGGAAGAAAATAAAAATAGTAATATAAAAGAAAGTGTACAAAGAAATAAAATATAAAAGCTCATGCATTTGCAAAAGCACCAAGTCAAAGCATAAAGCATCTTCACAAATCCATTCCCACTGCAGTTTGAGTTCAGCTGTAGGTATCCAAGTTGCTTCCCCTTCTCCAAACTTCTGACAGAGCCTTTTTCTCCCCGCCCCCTTTTCTGCACAGAATCCCATGTTCACCTCTGCTTTTCCTCCAGGACCTTCCATCTGCATATCAGGCACCCCCTGACACAGCCACCACTCTGTGTTTCTACCTGAAATCCTTTTTCAGTCCCTTTCCTGAGAGTGTCACTCTCCAAGCTGTGAACTTGGAGAAGCCCCAGGGCTCCTTGCTTTCAGCAGCCCCTGATAGAGGGTGCTGGGTGCGTCCCTGTGGGTGTTCGCTGGTGAGCTTGAGCAGCTCACAAGATGTCCATAAGCACAATACTGCCACTGCATGGGAAGGAATGGGCGAGTAATTATTTCCAGGTCAATCTGGTCACTTCTTTCCTTAGAGTCCTACCACTCTCAGACCCTGCTCATTTCTGCAGCCCCAGGGCCACAGTTTTTCCTTACTCAAATTCTGACCTCTTATCAGAGTGACACCATTGTTTTCACATCCCCAAGGGCTTGCTGATGTGTTCTCTCACACACCACTGTGGCTCTCAAGTTCTCTGATGCTCCAGTTTGAGAATATTTCCTTGGGAAGGGGAGAATAATCAGGAGACAACTCCATCAGCTGGGCCACCACTGAAATGCTGACTCCTTCTGGAGCCAGATCCTCTCCAAAGGTGATGCCTATGTCATTCCTGGTGTACAAGGGAGGTCACAATCCAGGAGCAATGGGGTTCCATTTCTAAGCTTTCCTAATGCTGGATTCTGGTTGAGTTTCTCTTTTTGATTATTTTCCTGAATTTGTTTTTTTCTATTGTCCTCCTGCTTTTCTCTTGTGCCTGGATCAGAGTCTCCCTCGATGCTGCCACCAAGCTGGCCATGATCATTGCCCAGTAAGCAGATTTAATGAATATCAGTATCAGTAAAAGGTCCACACTAAAACACATGAGGTCATAGGTTGGAGGTGGCTGATGACAGAACTAGACTGTAACCTTTAATTTTATTCCATTTTCGTAATTACCTTGATTTGATATAAAAGTTTAGGGGCGACACCCTCCTTGGAAAAGTTATACAGCTATTTTCCACTGGAATTTTTCATATAAGTCATATAAATTATGAATTACAGGGGAGAAATCAGAACGATGAAAGAAAGAAATCAGAACAGCAAGAGCTGGCTGGTCTTCAATGGATTATCCAAAACCTGTGCAATGTATTGCTAAATATGCTTCCCAAGTGTATAATAATTAATAAGCTCTGTGGATAGGGTTGACTGTTCCATAAATGTAAGAAAATCAATCCTTTGAAATGGAATCCCATTCTGGTTGTTTCTGGGCAGTAAGTAGACTAATATATACCTGAGTAGCCATTGTTGAACACACACCCTCCTGAACAACAGTTGGTGTCAAATTCCTAGCGATGTTTGCTTTGATCTCAGAGACCCTTTTGCTTGCTCCCACATTAGGAACACAGCTTGACTTGAGTGAGAGAAGGGAGCAAATGAATGGGTGGCTTTGTACAGAATGAATCTATCATATTTAGAAACTTTAGGAAATTATCTGATGATGTGAGAACCCTAAGTTTCCACTTGGGGGTGGGTGGCAAAGGCAAGACTTAAAATGTCACTTAGACCGGCCCTACATTATTCCCAACAAGAAGCCTGAGACAGGCACTCCCAAACTTAATGTGGCTTCCCTGTCAGCTGCCTTTTAAATGATAATCTCACTCTAGGAGTTCCTACCATGACAAACACTCATTTTGATGAAAACTACAGAATATTTTTCATAGATTTGGCTTAGTCAGAGGTGACAGCCTGCACACTCAGAAACCAACTTACTTTCCTCTCCCCCCACACTAGGTACTCTTCTCTGATGGTGTATAAATTGCCAGTGGAGGATGTTCAACCTTTATCACAAGCCTTCTTCAAATTAGAGACAGGTAAGAGGGGCCAGTTGGAGTGAGATCCTGAGAAGCAGATAATTCCCACACAAAATACCTATGGAAATGACCAGTTGAACTGGGGTATAAATGTGCTAGATCTTGATGTTAAAATTTGAACTTAAATTCTAGAAGCAGGAAACCAAGTGAGGTGAATGGGTTCTCTAAGTACAGTTGTATATGAAATGGCATGACGGGCGTTTCTCACTTTTACTTAGTATTTGTTGTATTTTTGACTCAGAATTTAATACAAGGTTAGACAAAGTTCACTATATAGTGATGGTGGTTACGTTTTTGGAGCATAGATACTGCAGACACCATATTTAAGGTATATACTCTTACAGTGCATATTATGGACTCTGGTCATAGATCAGGAAGCAGGCCTACTGCTTAGTCACTAATAACCCATTCTCCATTGGTGACTTCACTTACAGCTTCACTATACTGGTTTAGGTCCCACAGACTGTTTTGCTTCATTTTTCAATGTCTCAGTGATATCTTTGCCTGCTTGCTACCTGACTTAAGGAAGGAATTCTGATCAGCTGGCTCTAAAAGCATCTCTGACCTCTGCTGACTGCATCCAAGGTCATCCTGGTTCCTCTTCTTTCCGTTCCTCAGCAGAGGATATCAGCTGTCCAGGCTGTGTGATCATTCGCAGTGGTCCCTAGAATGAAATTTGTATCATTATTAGCCTGGAACACTGAGGGTCATATTTCCACCACAAATCCATCTGGTGGGTTCGTATGCAGATCCTAATTGTCCTTCCCAGTCTACCTTGGTCAACCAGAGAATGTCCAGCCTGGTAGGGACAGACCACTGTAGCTTCTAGGAAAAACTGACAAAGCTGTCTGCTTCCTAAAACACCACGGACGTCTTCCCTTTAATATGCTCATGCTTTTATTTTCAAAATCTCTCTGACTTTCACAGTCCATTTCCGTGCCAGGGCTGCTGAATTACAGCTCAGAAGAAAAGAAGGAAATCTCAGCGTTGCCGCACAAGGCAGATCTCTAAAGCTGCACAACCTCAGGCAGCCCGGCACTAGCTGTGCCCCCGCCCCCTCAACCTAAGCAAACCTGTTTGTATATTTAAACCATGTAATGTGCCCAGCCTAGGAGGGTTTCTGACATCACTTAACACTGTTGCTTTCATTTGCTATTTGTGCCTTGCCATGATTTAGTTAGTCAAGCTCATTTAAAGTATATAAACCCCTGATGTCTCTTCACCTCCGTGCAGTTAAACACAGCTTCGACGTGGAGGAGTACAGCCTCTCGCAGTCCACCCTGGAGCAGGTGGGGCAGTTTCTGTTGTTTTATTTCGTCCAAGAGATATACATGGATTCTCTTATATGCGGGTGCTTTGCACTCACTTGGAGCTACAGACGGCAGTGTGACATCTATATCTCTTCTTTTCTCCTTCCCCCTTTTCAGGTTTTTCTGGAACTCTCCAAGGAGCAGGAGCTGGGTGATTTTGATGAGGAACTGGATCCTTCATTGAGGTGGAAGCTCCTCCCACAGGAAGAGGCTTGAAGCTCCAAATATCTCTTTTTTCTTTATGCTTGTTACTCTTTTATAGCAATAATATGCCTTACCTCAGATATAACACAAAATACTTTTGAAACTCACAGTGTAACTTTTCTCCATAATGTTACTAATAGTGGGGCAGGTGGGTACAGTCAGCAAGACCAGCGACAGAGCCTGAAATTAGGCCAGACCAGGCAGCCTAGGTAACCCGCAAGCACACCCCATTTCACACAGTGTTGAATTAAAATAGCATTTATGATGATTTGTTTACATGGCTGAGGATTATACAGAGACTATTTAATTTCTTTCCCCGAACTTCACAATATTTGAATATTTTATCTTTTTGATTAAGTAAAATTAAGACACAATATTCATTTTAGAAGAGAGACAATCGGTTGAGTACCTAGCAGCATGGTCCTTATTTCTTGTAATTCACTATTCTAACCTGTACCCAATTTCCTGACTCTCTTTTGTAACTATAAAGAAAATTTGAAACATGTTAAATCAAATACTTGTGATAAGGATTTCAATGCTCAAATTGATGAGTATTTTACCATATACATCTTACATCCAAATAAAATACTGAATGGTTTCCCTAAGATGAGAAAACCAACATATATCATATAAGTAATTTAAAGAGAAAAATAAAAGATAGATGATAAGAAACACAGAGATAGGGGCTGGGGATTTAGCTCAGCGGCAAAGTGCCTGCCTGGCAAGCGCAAGGTCGTGAGTTCAGTTCCCGGTACCAGAGAAAAACCAAAAAAAAAAAAAAAAAAAAAAGAAGAAACACAGAGATAGACTTTGTAGAGATAAGGAGGGTTCTGGGGATCGGTGAGATGGGAGGGACGGAAGGATGGGGGAGTGACAAGGATCAAGATGCAATATGTCTGTGTACCAAATCCCTACAATGAATGTATTTATTATGTATTGCAGACGTATACTATTAAAATATTTAAAATAGACATATTTCTGATTTCGTATGTTTCTCACTGTATGGAGGTACTCTTTGAGGTGCTAAATATCATAATTCTAATTTACATTATGACCTTTCCAACTGGTAATCCTGAAACACCTTAAAACCAGCACAATAAATTTGCACCCAGGTTAGGTGAGTTTTTGTTGTCATTACCACGGTTATTGTATGAGCTAACTGAACACTTGAAAGCAATTATGTAAAAAAAAAAATCTGTACTTTGATTGTAATGAAATAATTTACTGCCTACAAACTAAGAGAAAATTCACATGAAAGCTTGAGCCATGGGACCCAGATTATTATTTTTTAAAGAAACACTAATGGTGGCTCTATTTAATTTTTATGAGTTACAAATGAATAGATACAAGTTGGCACTAAAAAGACAGTGTTTCACATTACTTAAATTAGTACTGCAACAAGGATTCCTTGCAATGAGTCAAGTGCAAAAAACTGTAACTATCATTGTATTAGAAGGCTCACTCTCTAAATCACACATGACTTTCTAAGACTTGGTTCAATTGTACACATAACTACTAGATTCAGCAAACATTTTAGTGAATATTATGGTGTGGTGAATTAACTAATGGTCAACTTGTAACACCCAGCTGAACTGAATCAGCATGGCTCTGGGTGTGGAGGGCCCATCTGGGGATTGTTGCCAACAATATAAAAAGAGAACTGGAGGGGAAGATGGTATGCTGTTGATTCTCCTGGAAAAGCTTGTCATGCTGGCTCTCCTGATAGGAACTTGGCTATCCTCATCAGAGGAGGAGCTCAGGTCCCCACTGTCACTGAAGATGGCTGTGGTGGGGAGCTTCTGGGGAAACTTCTTCTCCCACTTCTAGGGGGAGCTCTGGTCTTTATCTTGAGCATCGCTTCCTGGATCCAGTGCAGATCCCTCTGCCTGCTGGCACAGATCCGTCATCCCGGTGGTGCAGACTTTCTTGCTTCCACCACTAACCTTTGGACATTCCCACTGCAGGTCCTTGACACAGACTTGTGTGAGACATTGTCATGGACTCTAAGCCTCCAGTTGGACTCGTGAAGGACATTTCAGTGGGCTCTAGATCTTCAGCTGGACTCGTGCAAGAAATTGCCATGGGACAAGGCCCTCAACTGGATTCTTTGGATCTCCAGTGTGTGGGCAGATCTCCCACACTCTTTTGCATTTGGGTGAATATTATAAATAATCCTATAAATTATGTGTCCTGTACTAAATCCTTTCTCTGTAAACCCTGACTGCAACATACGGTTTAGAGTTAGAATGTCCTCTAAAGGCTCAGGTGCTCATGGATGGGATTTTTGAATGGTGATTTGATCATGGGGGTGGAATAGTCAACGAGCTGTTAGGAGGCAGGGTCTGGTGGGAAGAGGCAGATCAGCCTGCATGTAGCCAGGAAGGGTTTATCTCTCTTTCTGGTCTTCCAGTGATTCCCTCTGCTCCCTGTAGCCCAACCACACAAGTAGCTCTCCATCGTGAGCCTCTCAGTCTTGCTGTCCTGCCTTGGAGCCAGCCTGCTATGGACTGAAACCATGAGCTAAAATAAACCTTTCTGCTTTAAATTGTGGAGTTAGGTATTGTGTCCCAGTGACAAGGAAATTTTAGTGAAGACATCAGGAGTTTTTAAATGATATAGTATTAATGCTATATTGTGGGATCTGGTCAAGAGATGCATGTATCATCTCAGCATTTCAAGAGTGTGTTCTCAAAGCTAAAAATGAAAGGAAAAAAATGAATCCTGTCTTAGTTAATTTTCTCTCATTGCTGAGGCAAAATACCCAAAGCCCAGAATTAAGGAAGGAAAGGTTTATTTAGCTTACAGGTTGTGGGGGTTTCAGTCTATACTTGGCTGGCTTCAAGGCAGAGTGGCACATGGCAGAGGGAAACCGTTCAAAGCAGGAAAGACAGCAAAAGCAGCAAGAGCAAAAGGGAGGAGCAGTGGCAAGCAGCCTCTTTTCCTCCCTTACATTGTATGCAAACTGCCCGCCCCAGGGTGGATGTAGCACTCACGTCCATAATCCCAGCATTGGATTATGGAGCAAGCAAAAATCTCAACTAGAAGCCCACCCCGTGACTGCATGAGGATTTGGGGGGACATGCAGACACAAACCATAACAAATCCTTAAAATAGTCTGAGTGCAAGTATTTCAAGGAAAGGAATTATATCCAATGTACCTATACAATAAACTGAAACAGTAAACATAGGCACATAGAATTTTAGAACTATGACAATTTCAGAAGCATAGCATGATAATGGCAATAACATTAAAAGAATACACAGTATCTGCTAGGTTCTGCTCATATACTGGTTATTTCATGCAGGCCTCATAATAACATAAGTATACATAATATAAAATTATTTATTATCAGAAATGTATCACTGTAGGAGGCAGAATTTCTAAAATGGCCAACTGAAGATGCTTCTTGCCCTAATCTCTGGTCCCTGTGGCTGATATGTTATTGTTCCATTGTGTCTGTTTTGTTGTATGACACATATTATTTTAACATGAGATTATTATGGTGGTGGGCATGACCAGGTGAGATTATCTGATTTAAATGTCACATTTTATAAACAAGGAAAGCTTTCTCCAGACAGTGAAAGAAGGGGAAGTGGTGGAAATTGGAAGCATGAGGAGTTTTTGCTCTGTGTCCATCTTGGGAGATGGGAAGACCAGGAAGAAAGACTGTGTGTGTCCTGTATATAGCAGTTCCCAGGGGCTACACCAGAGGAGAAAAGCTAAACTGCCACTAAACACTTTATCACATTAAGATAGATACTTATGCTATTGATATTTTGGTGTTGTTCAGTATAACAGCATTCACTGACTAATACAGTTTGTGCCAGGAAAAGTATGACAGCAAAAACCTGGAAGAAGCGTTCCCACACAGAGACACTGATGCAATTGCTAAAGACTTCTGAACTAAGCCAAGTGTTTTGTCTCTGTCCTTGCGTGTAGCAGAACACTGAGGACATGACCAATTACTGTTGTCTTTGATGTGTTTGTCTATGTTATCTCTCTGCCTGGTCAGACATCCTTCACTGCTGCCTCTCTGCACTGCATCCTTCCCAAAGTGTCTAGCCCAGTGAGTCACTTACCTATTACTGATGTTAATGTAAATGTTTTTCTTGTTTTCATTTGAGTTACAATCACTGCAGTCTCAAAACAAAGAGGAATTAAAACTGCTCTCTTGAAATGGAATTCTTAAACCAGGCGTGGTAATCCCAGCACTGGGAGGCTGAGGCAAGAGGATCGTTGCAAGTTCGAGACCAGTCTGGGCTACAAAGTGAGCTCAAGTCCAGCCTGAACTGCATAGTGAGACCCTGTCTCAAAAATACAAAAAAAAGAAAGAAATGGAACTCTTGTTGCAAGTTGGAGGAAATATTTTAATGTCGCTTCAAAACCCTTCTTTGGATCCAACCCACACCAAGAAATCATGCCTTCAGATGGGCCCATGCTTTGTTGTATTATAAAAACCTAGAAACATATGTGCTAACTTACTATATTTGTGTGCATATTTGGAGTATTTCAAGTAGAAAGTAAGAATAATTTTATGAGGTCTTAATAAATAAAAATACAATTATTATGAATAAGTAATTTTAATTAAACTTTATTGTCAAACGAGATGAGTTCTGTAACAATGACATTTTGGCATTGACATTTTGAGTGACACAGCTTGCTCAATATTTGATGCTTTTCTCTTTATTTTTAAACTCTGTCCTAGCAAATCATAGCATCATTCAATTACACTACCGAAAGAGATCTTAGAGTCTAACATGCATAATTCGATCTGCCTTCTAAACCATACTAACTTCTCTCTGTTTATTTTTTGGTTTTAGTCACTTAACCTATACTAATTGGTGAGATTTTACCTCCCGACTATTACTTTCCACCACTCTTGTCCCAAACTTCCAAACCGGGACCCTGTAATTATCTACTCTTTTACTTGTGAGGCTGAACATTGCCAGAGAAAGGCATTTCTCATGCTTGTCAATGCAATAAGACTGGATGTATGTGCATATAATTTGCATCCTGGATACAGTGTGAAATTAATATTTTGGGGGAGTAAGTACATGTGCAGAAATCAAGCTCTGTCTTCACCAATACACTTGACATCAGTTTTGGATGCTTTAACACCACATAGATGGTCCAAAGCTCCAGCTCATACTCTTGAGGCAGGAGATTAGGGTGTAGCAAACCAGCCTAGTAAGTGGACATGTCAGGACATACACAGAAAAACAGTTCCAGTCACAAAGTGCTAACTTCAATTCTTCTCCTGAGAAATCAAACAGGTTTTGATTGGGTAGTTTAGACCCGATGTCAGTCCAAGAAGTGGGAGATACAAAAGATAGCCACCATTAACCTCTTGCGCTCTCGCTTTTACAGCGGTCCTCTCTCACCCAGTAGAGTGTACTTCTTTTCCTACTTTTAACTGGCCCACACTCACCCTGCAGAGGATATTTCTTTTCTTACCTACAATAAATGTAAACCTCACTATCTTTTGTGCTTGATTTGACCAGTTCTTTGTTCAAAACAAGAAGAACCTAGGAAAAAAACTTCTAAAAGGGGTCTCTGGCACCCCAGAACCTGGTAACATTCTGGTATCTTATTTCTTTGGATTTCTCATTTCTAATTATCTTTTGAGTTTTAGTTTTTATATTTTTAAATTTTTCATTAGTATATGTTTGCAGTACACA